AATCCTTGTATGTATATATGTATATATAGTACAACTTTTAGTATAAGTATAATAAAATAGATTAAAATCAACAAAAAGATGACTAGATCAGGTGGTAAGGCGTGTGTTATCCTTGCCAGATGCCAGGGTTCAAATCCTTTTGTTGCTCTGCAGATTTGTTCCTTGTTTGGCAGCAAATTGTTTATGTTATATTTAAATATTTTCTATGACTTTTAAACACTTCGTATTAATTAATTGTGAGATTCATATATATATATATATATATATATATATATATATATAACTTTCTTTCATATCAATAATGAGATGTGTTTATAATGTATTTTTTATTCGAATTATTTTATCAAATTAATTATGTTTCATATTTTTTATAAAATTTTGATGTGTTTTATTTTTCGTCCACATCCAACAATATTTATCGCTATACTTTTAAATGTTTTTTTTTTTTTTTTATCAAACTATCTCTTTTGTTTTAATGTGTTTTGCCCCCACTGAAAAGAATTTCTGGGTCCGCCACTACTGACAAGGTGTAAACTTGAGTTGTATTTTATGGAATAACTTCATCACTCTGTTCAAGGTTCTCAAATTCTGGAAAATTTTGCGAAGGCTACAACAGTGAGTTTATTTATTTAGTATTGTAGTTGATTTGGGGATGGAATTATGCACTTTAGCGTAGAGATTAATAATCTAAGGGAATGAAGAAGAAATCTGATCAAACGAGATGTGGAATGAGAAATTACCATGATGACCATGCTTTAATAAACAGAATTGTTAACAGAGAACTAAATTGTGTAGAAACATCAAAGTTGAAGACTAAATTAAACACAAAAAGTTACTTATGACTAAATATAGTCGAAGATTATATTGGGTATTAGCTCGAGATATATGTTTATGGTGTTGCTATATTCTCATAGTGACAATACCTTATCCATATAACTATTGCATAATTAAGCTCAAATTATGCAAGAATTCATATAAACATCCAAGTTCACATGTCACAAGTAAAACTGTCATTGAGTCATTTCACTATCTAATATTACAATTCAAATCACATAGTATCCCTTCAATCCAAATCCTTTAAAGTTACTAGCTACTCATACTCGAAAATGTAGAAAAAGGGAAAAAGACTTAACCTTGATAAAAAATAATGAAAAGTGCAATTTGAAAAGTCAAACTAAAATCAATTACAAGCTAAAGATTTTGGAGAGACTTTTTCCTTAAAAAAATCTGGAGAGAAAAATTAAAAATAAAAAGTCATCTAAAAATAACCACCTAGGCTTATTTATACCTTCCAATTCGCGCCAAAGAAACTAATACAACAAATTCTGAATGTATGGTCATGATCTACCTCCCGCCGGGGAGGTCGATTGTGACCACTAAGAGGGTGACTGTGATCATTCCCAGCGAACTTTCTAATCCCCGGTGTCCCACTAAAGCTCACGATCATGAGTATCAGCTGGAGCCCGGAAATCTGAAACTATTTTGGGAGGGTCACGATCATAGTCATAGTTGTGATTGTGACCGGGTGCGTCCCTGTCTATTGTCTAAGTTCTCAGAACGAATGCAAATTATTGTTGAATTACAATTGACAAGAACAAGAAATGCAAATTATTGTTGAATTAATATGAATTCAAGAGAGCAAAGATCAATTATTGTTGAATTAATTTGTAATTCAATTCTTAGTTCAATTACTTGTTCTTGTCAATTGTTCTAATTGCTAAGGCAGTGATTCATTCAGTGATATCATATGAACAGAAATTAAAATAACACAAGTAATTCGATAATTCAGTTTGGAGTGATAACACAAGTAATTCATTCTCTATATTTTACTTTCTGTGTCACACATCTCTAATTCAGAGAATAGAGTTAAGATATATTAGTTAGATAGACTAACTAATTTTGCTTTCAATTTCACTGTCAAATAGGCTTCCTTGGTCAGAATCATCAATAAGAACTTTCAATTTCACTGTCAAATAGGCTTCCTTCTACAATGGCCTTTGCTATAGGTTCCGGGGAGTCAAATGGATTTGGAGGCATTGCTGGAACATTTTCTCCTTCAAGCATTTGAATAACAACTTTCATGGAAGGCCTATCCGCAGGATTCCATTGAACACACCATAGCCCTGCAACTGTTACTTTCTTAACTCTTTTTCTGTCGATTTCTTTCTCTATATGGATTGATATCTCTTCTCCTTTCTCCAGTTGATCATATGCCCATTGTGGGAAGTAAAGTTGGCTGCTTTCTTGCTCATCATATGGGACATTCACAGGATTCCTTCCCCCAACCAGATTAAGCAACAACATCCCGAAGCTATACACGTCTGCCTTGTATGACACGTTCCCGAAGTTCCTCGAGAACACTTCGGGCGCGATGTAGCCTATCGTCCCTCGGGCTGCTGTCATGGAGACCACGCTTTTTTCCTTGGAGCAGAGCTTTGCCAACCCGAAATCTGCGACCTTTGGGTTCAATTCTTCGTCCAGCAATATGTTGTGAGGCTTAATGTCGAAATGGAGGATTCTCTGGTTGCACCCTTGGTGAAGATAGTCTATTCCTCTGGCTATCCCGAGAGCAATCTGTTCTAGCTTATCCCAACCAAGGGACTGCCCTTTTCTCGACGAAATCACGTCCTGGAGAGAGCCATTTGGCAGGAACTCGTACACCAGGGCACGGTTCGCCCCATCAGCGCAGTATCCTAGTAGTCGGACCACGTTGATGTGGTGGATTCTGCCTATGGTTCCAACTTCATTGATGAAGTCTTCCCCATTTCCTTTGGTGTTGTCAAGGACCTTAACGGCAACCGGAATGTAACTCGAAATTCTCCCTTTGTACACCATCCCATAGCCTCCTTTTCCTAGCTTCTTCTTGAATTTCTCTGTGATTCTTTTAATGTCTGCATAGGAATATCTTGTAGGCCTAAGAGCATTGTAATCCTCCAAAAACTTCTCCACCATTTCTTGGTCCTTATGCTTCCTTTTCTTTAAGGAGATAATGCGGTATAGAGTGTATCCAACTACCCCAGAAATGAGGAACACACCAATAGTTATGCCTGCAATTATACCTTTTTTCATTGAACCTGCACAAATGAACCAACCCTTGTTTAAACATGTAAGATTGCAGAATTCTCTTTTTTTTTTTTTTTCTCTGTTTCAAGAAATAGATAATAAATTGTGAAGGACACATAACCCAAGTCCTAATTTGTTAGAATCAAGCGCTTACCACTATGCCAAAAACTATAGCTAGTAGCGAAGACGTAATTTTATTTTTGAGAGCGGTGCTGGACTTGGCCCTTTACTGGCCTCCCCTCCTAGCACCCGCCAGTCTGAACTGCTCTTGCTTATCTGATACCACTCGTTAGGATCAAGCACTTACCACTACACCGAAAGTTATAGCTAATAGCGAATGCACAACTTTATTTCCTTATACCGCCACACATTTTCGAGAGCTAGGCCACTAGGGTGCTGGACAGCCTGGACTTGACCCTTTACCTCTCTCCACCCAACAATCTTCCTAACCACATGGTGCTAGACTTAGCCCTTTACCGGCTTCCGCCAAAAATAGTAATGAACTTGGCCCGACCTCCGCCTAAAATGCCCTAGCCACATGGCACTGGACTTGATCCTTACTAGTCTCAGTTAAACATAATTTTAGGTGCAGAGAAAGTCATAAACAGTGAAATTATTACCTGCAGTATCCTTATCTGGTGTAGGATCATAACATTCAGTCACATTTTTGCTATTCTTCTCCAACCTGCAATACTTGCCCAGATCTTCACAATTCTTGCAAAATGGATTTGACCATTTGAGAGATTCTCCGGGTAAAGAAAGGTAATCAGGGGGGCTCAGTATAGTATATGGAACACCAGAAATGCTATACATCTTAACACAAGACAATGGCCATCTGGTGGCTTCAGTACTAGAATCGAAAGCATAGACTCTATACCCAGGGCCACTAAGGCAGGGAATGGAGTATCCACTCCCTGAATCTTTACTCCCAGAAGAGCAATTGAAAAAAATGTACTGAGGGTAAGGGCTACTATATTGATTATTCAACTCAAAATGAAATGCCCCAGATGAAGAATTCATAGTGGGAGCCTCTCTGGGGAAACAAGAAGCGTTGACTATATTAACTGTCATCGTCTGGGATTTGTAATCGATCTCCAGAACCACAGCTTTGACGGATATTGGGACGATGATGTTGTTGGTAGATGCCCTCGCCGGATACTGGAGAATGAGCTCTGTTTCGTTGTCTTTGTTGCATGACACTTCGAATCCGGCGGGGTAGCCGCAGTGGTCCGGCTGCCGGCCCTTTAGCCGGAAAGGGAAGCGAATCACCGGAGGGATGGGGTAGGTGCCGCCGCAACTGGATGGTTGACACTCATCTTCAGCTGCTACAATAACGAAGATTAGTGCGAGGATTAACAAGTGAAAGTTAAAGCGAAATATTGCCATGCGACACTTCTGCACTTCAGAAATTTTCTTGAATTTCAGGGAATCCTTAGCAAATGAAATGTTAAATAAAAAAAAAATGTGGTTGTCAAAAGTCTGAACTCTGTGTGTGTGTGTGTGTTTTTTTTTTTTTTTTAGTCAAACCACATCAAAACGCGTGTTGAAAAAGACAAAAATCTTAGGGATAAGATTTTAGGGTTAAAAGACTGAAATGTGCCGTCCCCAACATCTATTTCCGTAAATGTGTGACGACTTTTTTTTTTTAACAGAAATGTGTAAAACTTATTTTCGAGTTGCGTTTTTGCATGTGTCTCGGGTGTTTTTTTTTCTCCTTATTTACTTAAAACGCAAGTAGGAGTTGCGTTTTTTGTATTGTATACGTAAAACGCATTTGCCAAATGCGTTTTCATGATACGTATCGCATACGTTAAAACGCATTTGGGAGATGCGTTTTACGTATAATACTTTAAAATACGTTTAACGCATCTCCCAAAGCGTCACCGTCACCGTTGCTTTCGTCGTCATTGCCGCCACCCTCACGATCATAAATATTCTCAATGCGACCACATTACCTCACTTTCATCTCCACCGTCAAAATACGCCGTGAACTTCCCTTTCGTCAACGACTCCCGTTCCCAAGCGGAAAACGACGTCGCAGTAGCTTTGGCCAGCGTTGAAACCGGCTCGGCTGGCAAGCGCTCCACCAGCGGGGACAGAGACAAAACGATACCCCTGGACGGCGTCGGAAGATTCGACGGCCCATTTGGGAATTTGGGGCGTTGGGGCGTCGAGGGCACGGAGAGGGACAAGATTTTGATCCTCCAGAAGCTAACGGCGGCCGTCAGAACGGCCACCCAAGTCCAGACATTGTTAACCGCCGTTAAAAACCCATAGCTCAGATAGTTGAAAGCTATAGCTTCAAGCGGAGATTCCAATGTATTCATTCTTTCAAGAAAACTTTTTTTTTTTCTGGTCAGTGCTCTCTCTCTCTCTCTTTCTCAATCTCTCGTTTCCTTTTCCGTCTCCGCAACATAGCAGTAAACGCAACTCACTTTTGCATTTTACGTATAATACGTAAAACGCAAAAGTAACTTGCGTTTTTCACTATACCGTATCTCCTTCAAAAACGCGTTAACAGTAGAGATGACCACGGTTCGGTTCGAACCGGAATCGTGACTGTGCAAACCGGAACCAGAACCGAACCGGAACTCTATAATAAAACAATAATTTTTTGCTTGCATTTTCCCACCCACGTGATACTGTGTCGTTTCACTATTGACGTTTTAAGTCCAGGATTTTATTTTATTTTTTAAAATTTGCATGCTATTTAATCATGCTTGTATTTAGACGGTTATGGAAACTACCGAGGATGACAGTGTACACGTGTTATTATAACGTTCTTGGAGAACTTGTGCAGCTTAATTAAGTCTATCTATATCTATCTATATCTATATATTAAGAATTACAAACAGTTATAGATATTACATAATACATAATTTGATGAGGACTGAATAAAAATTTAAAATAAAATATTTGAAATTGAAAGAACATAATCATTAAGCTTATTGTTCCAATGCGGACTCTTCGTTTCTCTATGATCAATCCGGATAAGATTCTACCTCTATATAAAGAGGTAGATTGAGATCAACTCTTTCACCTCAGTTTCTTCCATCCTATATACGTGATATTGCACCAGAGTAAACCAAAAATGCCTTCACAATATGTCTCAGTCCAGGCCATTAGTCCACTGCATACGAAAAGGGCAATTAGAGTGAGGTTAGTGAGTACGTACGAAGTACCAGAAGTGCGGGGAGGACAAGTCATGAAAAGCAAGTAATGTATATTCGTTGATTCAGAGGTAAAAATCAGTTCTAAATATTGTTTACATTCTTACTGTTTTTGGATTTTAAAAGATCAGGTGTGAATCAACTCTCATAAACTATAGGGAATCTATATACATGCTAATATCTCCAAAGAAGAAGTGGAGAAATATCGGGCTATTTTTAAAGAAGGAAAGATTTATTCGGTGAAGAATTTTCTTGTGGTTACTAATTACCTATAAAACAACTTCACACAAGTACCTCATTAAGTTCAATTACAACACTCTTGTAAAAGAGAATCCGAAGAAACAATTTTCTAATTTTATGTTTAGGCTAAGGTCTTTTGAGTCTTTAATGAATCCTGAAGAAGTCAATGATAAGAGCTTTTTTTGGTTAGTAAATCTGAACATTTTTTCTTAGATTAAGATTTTCAAGGGTTTTGACTAATATATATATATATATATATATATATATATATATATATATATTTGGCTAAAGGGAAGGATTGTGGAAATCTACTCTCCACTACAAAAGATCATTGGTGGAAAATCCTCCACTCTAATTGATTTCCTAATAGCCGACACAAAGTAAGTTTGTCTTACCATATTCATACACTGTCTTTTTAAAAAAAAACTACTAACTTGGCAATTTATATCCTGCACCAGGGCGCGCATTGCATTGTGCGCCCTGATGCAAAACGACGTCGTTTTAGTTTTAGTTTTTTTTTTTTTGAAATTTCGCTACCCTATGTTGGCGGTTAATTTTCTTTAAAAAAAAAATCTCAGGTTCAAAAATGTACATAATTTTATACTAGAATACACATAATTGTATACATGAATGTACATAATTGTATAACAAAACACACATACTTCTTTTTTAAAAGATAATATATATAATCTAACATAATAGTTAGACCTGGCAATTCGTGTATACGGGTCGACACGATAACGACACGAACACGATAAGGCTAAACATGGACACGACACGTTATGGTTAACGGGTTTAAATTTTTAACACGAACACGAACACGATTTGTTAACGGGTTAAACGGGTTGACACGATAGACACGTTTTGTTAACAGATTTCAAGTCGTATCAACACGATATGACACGAAACCCGTTTAAACCCGCTATTTCTATTAATATATTTTTTTTAAAAAAAAAACTAAAATTTAAAGTTAAGTTCTATAAAAAATAAATAAAACCTACAGTTCAATCATCAAACAAACTAAAAAATATTCAATCCATAACATTCATAAAATGATAAAATAACATCGAAAAATCATAATTAAGGAGTCCATACTAGTTTTTAGAATCAAATTGAACACAACACAAATTCAAATTTCTAATTGTTGAATGGTGTAGGATCTTGGCCTAATGTAGTAAATTCATCCTTAGTCATGTTCATAATATCTTTTCTAATCTCATTCATGACCATGGTTCTTACCTAAATGACAATGGTTCTTAGCGGGTTACAAACAGGTTTAGTAAACGGGTTAACACGATAATATTAACGGGTTAAACGGGTTCTTAATAGGTTTAACGGGTTGACCCGTTAAGACACGAAATATAATGGGTCCTTAACGGATCAACCCGTTAAGGACCCGGGACACGTTAAGGCTAAACACTAACCCGTTATTTTCGTGTCCGGTTTCGTGTCGTGTTAACGGGTCGTGTCCATAATTGCCAGGTCTAATAATAGTGATAATACATCTACTATTATATATATATATATATATATATATATATATATATATATATATATATATACTAATAAAAGCCCAAGAAAGTTAGGCCTATAATGGCTAGAAAAAATGGCGGTCAAATTTTTTAATCAAATGAATGGCTCAGATTGATCGTATTTTAATTTTTCCTTAAGATTTCCTAATTTATCCTTAATGAATATGATTATCCGTTAAATATGATCTTTTTCGTTAATTTCTGTTAGTTCACCGTTAACTTAATCATTGATTTTAATAAGAAAGGTCTTAGGTTTGAACCTCATCCCAATTAAAGTTGGCATAATTAATCTCTATTTTACTCTTATTAAATTAAATAATAATTTAGTAGCTACAAAAAAAAAATAATACATATGCATATCTTGAATTTAGAATTATGTGTCTACAATGTCTTTATTCAAAAAAATTATTCATTATCAATAAATTAAATAAGAGAAATAATTTCATTAGTTATATTATATTTATTTTTCTCCAATATAAAAATTCTTTACATTCAAATTAATCAATTGATTATATTCGCTACATTGTCTCTACAATGTCTTTATTAAAAAAATCTATTCATTATCAATAAATTAATTAAGAGAAATAATTTTATTAGTTATATTGTCTTTATATTTTTTCCAATGTAAAAATTCTTTACATTAAAATTCATCAATTGATTATATTCACTACATCTTCTATTATCTTTTTTGTGCACTATTTTTTTAATTAAATATCAAAGTTATAATACAAAATAATGCTATATATTTATTTACCAACTATTTTATTAATACCATGAAAAAATTAAAAAAAATATATAATTAATAAAGCCAATCATATTAACTACTTGAGAGATTTATTGACAAAGAGAGTATTCAAATCACACAACAAATTGAAGTGAGAACTACCTCGCAATGTCCTTGTTTGACAATCAGCAGTTAGCGGATTATATTAGCGAATTTGACCAGCGAATTATATAAGCAGTTGATAAAAAAAGATATTTAAAAAAATTAGGTGTTTAGATTAACATGTAAAATGACCAAGTATACATAATAATAATAATAATAATAATAATAATAATAATAATAATAATAATAATAATAATAATAATAATAATAATAATAATAATAATAATAATTGTTTTTTAAAAAAATAAAAAAATTAAAAAATGTAAATAAGCCAATCATATTAACTACTTGGGGCATTCAAAAAAAAAAAAATATTAACTACTTGGGGGATTTATTGACAAAAAAGAGTATTCAAATCACACAACAATTTGAAGTGGGAAACTATCTCGCAATGTCCTTGGTTGGCAATCAGCAGTTAACTCTTCAATATTAGTATATATTTAATATTTTATGCCCTAATTTTTATTTGCTCTCCCTTATGTCCCGTATTTGGTTTCAACCATACCTATTCAATTATTTTATTGACAATTATAATCAATCTTGATTATATTTTCTTGCATTTGTAAACTTAGAATTGCCTATTTAAATAGGCAAATTTAACATTCAATTATCTATGCATGAACAATTCCAATATAATCTTGCCTTGATATACGTTAAAGTGCTTATTTAAAAAAAAAAATTGAGTATTATCCCAATCGCGCAATGCGCGTAAAAAACTAGTAATATACATAAACTTTTAACATAATAAACATCAACTCTTAACATAATACACATAAATTTCCTATTTCGGATGTACATAATTGTATAAAAAATGTACATAATTGTATAAACAAATACACATAATTGTATAAACAAATACACATAATTTATAAACAAATACACATAATCGCGTCAACTCCCTGCATAACTTACCAAAATGACGTCGTTTTGGAAGGCGCGGGGCGCACAGTGCTATGCGCGTCGTGGTGCAGGGTATAACGATTGTACGAACTTTTACTTTTATATATAGTGACAACAGATTAAAGTGTACTGTTTGGGATGAACACGTGGCTGCCATTCATCAATTCTGTAATAAAGATATTCAAGAACCAATCATTGTTGTCATTCAATTGTGTGGGGCTAAGATTGTAAATGGTAATGAGTTTAATTTTATATACATTACATATTGTAATGACCTGCTAATCCTATGTTTCTTTTTAGGTGAGGTAAGGATCACCAGTTCCTATGATGCCACCAAACTGTGGATAAACCACAATTTTGATGAGTTTATTGATTTCAGATCTAAGTATGTGTCTATTTTCTTCATACTGTGGATACTTTTCTAAGCTCTAATTTTCATTTTATTATAATTTCTACTAATGGTTTTTTTTTTTTTTTCCACTTAGGCTTACTCTGTAAAGCAGTCCAGTGCGTAGTGTCACTACTACCACCGTCCTATCACAATCTACTGACCTAAGTGATTTTAGGGATGGTTGTGTGGTTGTAACTACCCTAGAACTCTTAATGCAACAAAAGGTCAGACATAGATTTTATATTCACACAAATAAATTTAGGAAATCAATTTTTGATTCAAATGCCAAAAATCAGTGAGTTCTCTTAATGTATATTATTTTATAACTAAAAAATGCAGGAAGGTGAATGGTATGTACCTGCTGAAATTCTTGGTATAGAGGGTTCAAGACAGTGGTATTACACTTCATGTCTGGCTGATGGATTATTGGATTCAAAAAAGGCAATCAACAACATACTCAACGAATCCTCTTTGTGGTGACACTTTGGTGGCCATGAATTGAATCACTATAGACCTATTGGGGATATCTCGGACCACATATATACTCGCAGCAGGGCCGGATTTTAGGCTGTGCAAGCTGGGCTACCGCACAGGGCCCCCAATTTTAGAGGGGCCCCAAATTTTAGAAGTCCAATATTTAATTTTTACCTAGCTAGTTTAGAAATAAAATTAAAAGTTTTCAATTAAACTTAAAAGGTTCTATGAAGAGATGGTAAGAATGTGTATTTATTATATTTTAACTTGGAGGTCAAAGGTTCAAAACTGGCATGTATTAGTTTTTAAAAATTATAATTTTGATAGGGCCACATTTATTTACCAGAACAGGGCCACAAAAACTTAAAATACGGCCCTGACTCGCAGCATGCAGACGTGAACTTGTAAGCATAAGTGAGTGATCTCTAGGGAACGTAACACGGCTGCTGACTTCTTGGCAAAGAGTTCCGGTGATCAAAGAGGCATTACGTTACTTAGGCAACCGCCTGCTAGCCTTGTTCAAATTTTAGAGGATGATAGACTTGGCATGCCAGTGTGGCGCCAACTTGTTTTGCCAGCTATGTAATTTTGGGTATCCCCTTCCATTTCATCAAAAAAAAAAAAAAACAAAAAAAAAGAGATAAAAAAAGCACAATGTTACAAATAAAAAATCCAATTAGAATAATTTCACTATAAATTTAAACTAACTCATCCTTTAATTAAATTTATATAAACTTTGTATTTATAAGTTAACTATGTATATACACTGCTGGAAATTATGGAATTTTCGACCACTTGAAAGTGATCTTAAGTCAAGTCGAAAGCAAAAAGTGGTCGGAAATAGCAATAAAGATTTTTCCGGATATCAGAAGTGGTCGAAACAAGACTTTTAACTTGATTTAAGATCACTTTCAGGTGGTCGGAAATTTCATAATTTTCAGTAGTGATACAAGAGATCTATACACACAATTGTGGTTCCGGCACTGTCCGGGCGCCTGACTAGCGCCTAACGCCTTTTGCAACATTGATTAGGATATTTAAAATATTTTATACTTAATTTGATTGATTTGAACAAATTGAAAATCTAAAAGTCCTAATTGTTTCATATGTTCACTCCTATAGAGATGTCATTATTGAATATTTATATAGAGGTAATTTTGCATTTAATTACTAAATAAACCTTTTTTACATTTATTTATGAATTAACTTGTGATAAATTGACCAGGACTATGTGGTCTAATGGTATCCGGGTTGGACTTCCATTTGGAAGGTTGTAAGTTCGAGCCTCAGTGGAGGCGTTATTGGCTCTTTGTGTTTCAGTAGGTTGAGAAAGTATATGAACAGATACTACAATGTAATAGAGCTAGTAGCGTTCAAAAAAAAAAAAAACTTGTGATAAATTTAATTAATTAATAAATATAAAAGAAAAAAAAAAGAAATTTGTTTATAGATACTGACCTCGTCAAAAAGTATAAGTAAGGATTAATTTTATACAGCTTAACAAACATTTTTCTAAATGATATTAATTATTAAGTGGTCAAAGTATTGGTGCTTAAGATCTAGTGGTCTCAGTTCTCCATCTCAGAAAGGTATAGCCGCAATAGCACGTTGTTTTGATAATGATTGTTTCCATAATGAAACTCCAGTTTAAATAAGAAAAATGTTATTCTTTTTTTTTTTTTCCCCATAAATTTAATAAAAAGTTTCACATTAAATTTTTTGATAAATAGTTGCAGTAGCTCTAAGAGACAGTTTTTTTTTTTTTTTTTTTTTTTTTTTTTTTTTTTTTTTTTTGGAAAGGAGTGTATTAAAATAACATCAAAATATATACAATCAGGAGGGTGAGTAATCCACACCCCAAGGACAGATGAGGAACCAGCAGCCTGTGCGAGCACATGAGCCACGTGATTTGCTGGCCTTTTGACGTGGTGAACCAGAATGTTCCCAACGTCTCGTACAATGTCACGACATTGTTCAATAATCAAACCTACATAGGACAAATCTTGACTAGTGGAATTAAAATTGTTACAAAGATTTAAACAATCGGACTTTATAATGTAGTTCGTCGGTGGTCGAGTCTTGATCCAAGATAGTGCTTCTCTGACCTCCAACGCCTCCGCGCAGTAGGGTTCATGGATACCATGTAGATTGCCACTCCGGGCAGCAACAAAAAGGCCCAAATGATCACGGATCACCGCTCCATAAAAGATTCTGCGCTCAGAAACAGCTGCGTCGACGTTGCATTTAAGGCTCCGATCCGTTTCGGTGGTGGCATCCAGAGCGAAAGTTCACTGTCCATGCGACGTCGCCCACCATGCATCGGTAACAGAGAATCCAGCCAAGTTGAAGAAAGATCAGTCATTTGTCTAGTAAGACCCTCAATAGTCCAGTTTTTGTCATGCAATACCACATTATTTCGAGTGTTCCAAATCACCCAAATCCTTGCCGCAATTAACACCATTGACGTCTGAGGTAACATACGGAAGCTGGAGTTCATGAAACCTGCGAAGGTGGATCTATGAAGGATGTCGTCGACGCCCCATAACTGCCGAGCAACCGGGCAATCACCAAATAAATGCTCGATTATCTCTATATCAGATGTGCATAAAGGACATCCGCCCCCAATCCAAATCCCCTTTGTCTTCAGCTTCTCCCGTACAGGCAGAATGCCCCAGGTGCAGCGCCAAATTAAATTAATAACCTTCGGTCGAACCGGAATACGCCATAGCCTCCCCCATTCTGTGAACTCGTGATTCGAGTTCTGCGTCGAGGCTACAACCGTTTTAACCTGGTAGCCATGCTTCACCGAATAGAGCCCCTTGATGTTGCCCGCCTAGCTCCATGAATCTGAGTGGTGTGGCGATATAGGGATCCTAATTATTCGTTCCACATCTTGCTCCACGAAAATGTCTCTGAGTACCTCCAGATCCCAGGTGCCGTCGCTGGTCATCAGTTGGCACACTTTGGCATCACGAGCGCATGGTGTAGTCAATGGACCAATGCTTGCGTCTGCTAAACACGCTTGGCCCCAAACAAGTGTGTCTTTGCCGTCTCCAACTCGTCGGATGAGACCTCCGTGTAATAATTCTTGACTTGCGAGGATGCTCCTCCAAAGGTAGCTTGGATTGTGGCCAATGCGCGCCTCTAGAAAGCCAACAGTGGGGAAGTACTTCGCTTTTAGAAGCCAGCTCAACAGCGAATGAGGTCTTGTGATGATCCTCCATCCTTTTTTAGCCAGGAGTGCAATGTTGAATTCTTGGAGACGCTTAAATCCCATACCTCTGAATTTCTTTGGAATCGCTAGTCGTAGCCAAGAAGTCCAATGTATGCCCCGGCCGTTGGTAGTCCCATTCTTCCACCAAAAGTGATTCATAACTTTCTCAATCGAATCGCAAACACTCTTTGGCAAAAGGAACATCGACATGGCAAAGATCGGCATAGATTGTGCAACGCTATTCAGAAGAACCTCTTTCCCGGCCCGTGATAGCAGTTTTTTCTGCCACGTACATACCCTATCACGAATCCGCTACTCAATGAATTTGAAGAGCAACGTTTTATTCTGTCCTAAAAAAGATGGTAAGCCTAAATACCTTCCGAAATCATCGACTTGTTGTACACCAAAAATAGCCGCCACTTGCTCTCGTATGCCCGACACGGTATTGGCGCTGAACATAATGCTAGATTTGGCATAATTGACTGCTTGACCCGAAACGCGGTTGTACAGACTCAGACATTCCTGCACTTTTTGAGCCTCCCCCGCAGTCGCCTTGAAAAGCAGCATGCTATCATCGGCAAAAAAGAGGTGTGAAACCGGCGGGGCTGTTCTAGCCACCCGGATGCCATGGATATTTCCTCGGGCCTCCTCCTGTTGCAGCAGTAAAGAAAACCCTTCCGCACATACTATAAACAAATATGAGGAAAGCGGATCGCCCTGGCGGATACCCGAGTTGGCATCACCGACCCCACATCATCACCATTTACCACAATGTTGTATTTAACTGAATTCACACACAATAAACAAGGTCAACCCACCCACGGGCGAACCCCATGGCTATCAACATGCTTTCTAAAAACTCCCCATTCCATCCTATCATACGCTTTAGCCATACCCAGCTTCAGCGCTGTCCATCCCCCATTACCACGCGTTTACCTCTCAAATAGTGGCCTAGTTCCCCGGCTACAATGATATTGTATGTTATTAACCTGTACGGGATGAATGCGTTTTGAGACGGAGAAATCATAGTGTCGAGAATCTCCTTCAATCTATTAGCTACGATCTTGGCGAGAACTTTATAAGCCACATTGCATAAAGCGATGGGCCTCAAATCATATACATGTTCCAGACAAGTCTTCTTTGGAATTAGAACCACGTTGGACGCATTCAGACCTTCTGGCATGCTACAGCTATGAATGCAGTCCCTAACAAATTTTGTGAGATCCTCTCCAACAACTGACCAAAAATTATGATAGAACGAAGGGGACATACCGTCAGGGCCCGGAGCTTTGTCTGGAGCCATGGAAAACAAAGCGATCTTCACTTATTCGTTGCCTACAGGCCTAGTTAGGCAGTCATTCATCGTAGTAGTAACTCGGCAAGGCACCCGGTTGGCGATGTCAATTTCACAATTGGACGAAGTGAAAATGTCACTGTAGTAACGTAGAACCTCTGCATGCATGTCATTACCCTCCACCCAGTGACCGTCCGGATCGCGAATGCGACGAAGTGTATTACTTTTCCGTCGACTGGATGCAGCTTTGTGAAAAAATTTAGTGTTATGGTCACCCTCCTTAAGCCACAGTTGTTTGGATCTCTGCCGCTAGTAGACTTCCTCCTGGATAAGAAGTCTACATAGGTCACGCTCCACCTCCCCGAATTTCGCTATATCCCTGTCCAACCTGCTCCCTTTGAAGTATAAGCCCCCCACCTCTATAGATCGTTGCCACAACGCTCCACACATTGTCGAAAATCGAGATTCCGAGAGAAATCCCAAGAGTGTTCCCCCACACGTCGACACTCTTCGTCAAGTATCCATGCAGACTCAAACTTGAAACAACGGTTGCCTCTACGTAACAGACTATCCTCCAGACGCAAAATGATGGCACTGTGATCAGAGTTTAGGGTTAGGATATTTTGAACCGATGTCGCTAGATATGTGTTACACCAAGCTGTTGATGCCACCGCCCGATCGAGCCTCTCTTCAATCCAATGCTCCGTACCCCTACCCTTTTCCCATGTGAACTCGTATCCTGACATGCCCAGGTCGGACAAGTCACACTCCTGCAAAACCTCATTAAAACCCCTCACTAAACTGTCTGGATGTGGGATCGGTCCCTTCTTCTCGGCGTGATTGGCTAAGTCATTGATGTCTCCGATCACTGCCCAGGGAAGGTCTGAGCGGGTACTGAATGTTCTCAGTAGATCCCAGGATTGACATATCCTTGACCTCTCAGGGTGACCGTAGAAACCCGTCAGTCGCCACGGAGCCATGCCTGGAAGCGTCACCTCAACGTCGATATTGTTATCAGAAAAACTCAGAAGAGAAGCCATCTCCTTCTCCCTCCAAAACAGAGTTAAACCACCTCCCATACCCACTCTATCTACACATAACAAACCTTCAAAGCCCAATCGTACTCGCACACTTTCCAACCGAATTGAACACGATTTTGTTTCCATCAAAAACACGAAATCGGGTCGCTTCTTGGACACCAGGTCCAATAGTTCACGAACCGTCCGAGGGCCACCCAAACCTCGGCAGTTCCAGCTCAAGACACTCATTGTGTAGGGCGAGTCTGATCCATCAGACCCGCCGGAGATGAGTTTTTTAGGATTTCGGACATTACCACATCATTACCTTCTGTATTGCCTTCCCTTCGCCTCTTCAAGTCCCCCTGCAAACCACTGTTCTCTTCAGTCTCGGCCACATCTAACGCCCCCCTACCTAGATCTGGAACTTGCGTTACCGCTGGAGCCTGTGGGAGATCGGCTAAGAGCCACCTCGACCCAATTGGACGAGCTTGTCTACGAGCCCCCGCTCGCATCCAAGCCCCGTAGGGGAATGCCTCTGGATTGACACCCTCCTCGTAGACCGTTTTGCAAAACTTCTCCGAGTGCCCTAGCACCCCGCAACAGAAACAGAAAGTACCTAGTCTTTCGTACTTGAAGCTTACCCACTGTATCATGCCGTCTTTTTGATACATTCTCATCCGCCTCTTCAGGGGAGCATTCACGTCCAAATGCACTCTAATGCGGAAGAAACTATTCCATGATCCCCTAAAATTGTTTGGATCGGCCGTAAAAAACGTACCGACATAGTTACCGATACGTGCGACGAAATCCGATGAAGCATAAATGGAGGGGAGATCGTGGATTTGGACCCAAATCGAGATGTCGTTGAGAGCCACCTCCTCCGGCCTACCTCCTACCGGAACCATGCCACACACTAGCGTGTGGTTCTCGAAAGACCATGGGCCGTCGTCCAACACCCGCTACAGGTCCTTCAGGTTTGGAAATTGGAACAAGAACAGATCGTCTGCAATCGGGAGTACTCGCATACCCATCACCGGGCGCCACACCGAGGCCAGTACCTGTTGCATGTGATCAAACTTGATCGTCCGATCTGTTAAGAACCGACCAACCAGATCATGGTGAGAATTCGCCGTTGGAGATGTGAGGATATCCGGGGCTTCCAGGCCTCCGATCTCTTCGTCTACCAACGTCATTATGGCGCATCCTGTGACGATCGCATTGGTGTCCATCTTTGAGAATCGGAGAGAGGATAGATGATCGTAGGAGGGAACACACACGTCGGAATTGGAGAAACTCTGATGGCTGAGCGATAAAACGCATGCACATATATAAAACCACGCTATGTGGATCGAACACGATTGCCGTAAAAGGGAAAGAACTGCCATAGTGGGGAAGAGAAACCCTAGAGATCTAGGGAGATACTCTCTAAGCACAACCTAGAGAGAGAACCACGTTTTTTCACTTTTTAGAAAAACTTCGTCAGATCATTGCATTATAATTACAAATGGAATGGAAAATAAAAATTGGAGGAAAATATTTGAACAATAATATTCTTCATTTAACTCCAAGAGAGAGTTAGAAAAGTATAATTATATTGAATCACATATAATATAGTACTAGTAATTCACCCGCGCGATGCACGGGGAAAAAATTATGTTATTATACATATAAATAAAAAAATAAAAAATAAAAATATTTTAAATTGTTTAATATAATAATAATTTTGAGCTTCCATTGGTAAAGTATTTATTATTTTTATAGAATACAAAATTACAATTAAAATTAAAATTAAAATTTTGTAAGGTTAATATAATCTCTAATTATTTACATATTCAAATAAACTTATAGAGAGAATTTACATAATTACATTGATTTATTCTTAATTGTATTCCATCTATATTATAATTTTTACAATACGAATAATAACTAAGATAATTACATTTAGAAAACAAATTTCAAATTTTGTATGAGTAAATTTAAACTCTAATTGAACACATTTTTTTTATATGATTATATAATATATTCTTTATGCACATGTCATTCCATAAACCCAAATGTCATTCTATTTATTTATTTATTATTATTATTATTATATTTTTTTTTATAAAAAATCAAACGGTATTTGATTCAGTTCATTTTTTTACCGAACAATTCGGATCGGATCGGATCGGGTTTTTTTATCGAACCGTTCGGTATACAAGAATCCAATATCGTTCGGTTGTTCGGTATATTACTTCGAGTTGGTTCAGTACGGTTCGATTTGAGAAAACTAAACCGAATTGCCCACCCCTAAAGTTAATTACCAAAATGGTCCCTTGACTATAGTGAAATTACCAATTTGGTCCCAAGTTAATGGTTGACTAACAATCAAACTAACGGAGGACCAAATTGGTTATAATTTTTAAAGTTGAGGGACTTAATTGGTTAAAAAAAAATAGTCAAGGACCAAATTGGTAATTTCGCTATAATCAAGGGACCATTTTAATAATTAACTCTTATTTAAATAAGGAACTTTGGGAATCATTTTCTTAGATTCAAAAAAAATTAGGTTAGTTTTTATTTTTTTTTATTTTTAAATTAATCTCCTTTTGATTATTTAGAACAAAATTTAATATTTTAATTATACCTTTGAATTATTAGGAATGATTTATGTTATTATGATATTTGTTGAATGTTTGGCCTACTCTAGCTCTATTTTCCAAGGTAGTAACGCCTTGATTGCAGTATTATGTGACAAGATAATAATACATATGAAAGTAAAGAATACATATAATTGTAAAGAAGAGAGCAGGAAAGTAAATGAGAAAAATGCCAACTTGGCCTTTCCATTAGAACAAGGAGCAATAACATTTGTAGAAAGTATAAAAAAAAAGGGCAAGATTTACGTGGTTCGTCAATAACCCTACGTCCACATGAGTGAAACTATTATTAATTGGGATGGTAATAAAAACACCTAGAGATACAAACAACATATTTATAGGTATCTCTAGTCTCTAGACATATACATGCATAAAAATACCACTGTACAACGGGCCTACTCCGCTTCGTTCTTATTCCTTATACTTATATGAGATATATTCAATCGAAAATAATAAAACAATAAAGAAAGAATGATAATTGCAATAGCATGGGGCAAATATATATTTGTATTTTTTGGTGTAAACTACGAGGTGGTCTGAATTTTTTTTTTTTTGTCTGTTTAACGCTCTATATCCACCCGACTAATTTTCGTTTGCTCCGAAAGGCACGGGAACTTGTCTAAAAAAATCGTCACTTGTGAAAGCAAATATTTGTACTACGTAAACTCTTTCAATACAAGAAAGATCGTGTATGATCATTAAACTCGACAAATTAAACTATTTATTATTCAAGGGCACACCAACTCTCATCATTTGTATTACTTGGGTAATTGGTCCCGAGTCTTCCACGATAGATACAATGGTCTTCTATTATTGACCTCAAGTACGTACTTCAATTCACTGCTACTCCAACGGGTAAGTTTTAGGAGTTGGACCATATCTAATTTTATAATTATCTCAATCATTCTATCACCATTATTTGTACAAGCTTTCGAATATTAATTAGTTTAATGATAGTTTAAATATTTAATATTTTTCTTATTAATTTGATCATTCACTTATAAAATTAAAGACTAATGTGGGATTAAATTATTTAATTATATAGGATTAATTCACACAAAATATTTGTTAACCTAATTGACTTGCCTCTCAAGCTAGATGAGAACTTCCAATTTGATTAATGATTATCTAATGTCTACTTGCAATATGGGTACTCTAATGGTTTGTTTTTTATTCAATTGTTAATAGCTATTATTAAGTCTTCTCATTTGAAAGATTTTATAGTAAACTTTTGTATATAGTGATGAACATTTGAAAACAGGTATGAAATGTTTTCCAGCAATACTAATTGGACACTCGACACCTTTTAAATTTGGAAAATATTTTCCTTGTAAAACATTTACTTTTTCCATAGTAAACATTTAGTATACACAATATATATATATTTGAAACACTACTCATGATTCTTTACAAAGTAGTATATGTTTTACACCTTTTCAATCTTTTTCAGCTCAAAAATCAATGTCCCGGCCACCAAGTATAGGTCAAATTATTGGGTGGACCACGGTCCAAAAAACGTCGTGAATATTATGAGTAAAAATAATGTATATTATGTGTTAGAATAATGTACTTTATGTGTTAGAATAATGAACATTACGTGTTAGAATAATGAAACTTCTGAGATAATATAATGTACATTATGTTTTAAAATAATGTACATTATGTTTTAGAATAATGTACATTATAAGTTATAAAAATGTACGTTGTAGCGGGTCGCGTAAAAAAAAAATTATGCAGAACGGCGTCGTTTTTGGACCTCTGTGGACCACGATCCACGCAACAACTATTGTCACGTAAAGAGTTCGAACAGAAGTGTCATCACACTACATAGTAATATATACATAATATTATGCAATGAAAGAGTCATCCTTCAGACTCGGTAATAATTTCTAGTCCACTGGTAAACATTTTCCCAGGCTTACTTGCTCTAGCACAGGATGGATGAGTGGAACCAAAGGGATTTGGTGGCATGGAGGGAGGCTCCTCAGCTTCAATCATCTGAATCACAACTTTTATTGAAGGCCTGTCCACTGGGTACCACTGAATGCACCAAAGTCCTACAATTGTTAGCTTCCTTGCAATCTTACAATCATCACCCTCATTCTCTATTTCTTCTTCTCCCTTATTCATCATGTTGTAAATCCATTCCGGGATTTCAGATGATCCAACGTCATCACTCTTATTTCTTCCTCCCACCATTTCTAGCAAAAGCATTCCAAAACTATAAACGTCTGACTTATACGAGACGTTTCCAAAGTTTCGGGAGAAGACTTCTGGTGCGATATAACCCATGGTCCCTCTCGCATTGGTCATAGAGACAATGCTCTTTTCCTTGGAGCACAACTTCGCTTGACCAAAATCCGAGATTTTTGGGTTGAGGTTTTCATCCAGCAATATGTTATTAGGTTTAATGTCGAAATGGAGGATCCTTTGGTCACATCCTTGGTGAAGATACTCAATTCCTTTGGCTATGCCTAGAGCAATCTGTTGCAGTTTCTCCCAACCAAGAAAATTTTTTTCGTTCGGAGAAAATATAAACTTTTCAAGAGAATCGTTCACTAAATATTCATAAACAAGAGCTCGATGAAACCCATCAGCACAATAGCCAACCAATCGAACCACGTTGACATGGTGTGTGCTTCCAATTGTGCTCACTTCATTGATAAACTCTTCCCCATCTCCTTTGGAATTGTTGAGGACCTTAACAGCAACAAAAACATCATCTGAAAGTTTCCCTTTGTACACAGTTCCATAGGCTCCTTCGCCTAATTTTTCACTAAATTTGTTGGTGATTTTCTTGATATCTGCATACAAATACCTTGCTGGTTTGAGAGCTTTGTAATCATCCAAAAACCTTTCAATCTTCATCTGCTCCTTTTTCTTTTTGTTTAAGAAATAAATACCAATGGTGGCAAGAATGACCAACGACACCACGAGAAATGGACCAAAAATTTCACCTGCAAGTCCAACCAAACAAATTTAATTAGTAGAGCAACTTTTGGGTACGGTTCAATTTTGTTTGTGAATGATCTCAAACTTGTGGGGATTCAAACTCAATTTTATGATCCATAAAGGGATGTAACTTATTCAATCATTAGTTTGAATCCCAAATCTAAGGGCCCTTCACATCTCCTGTCCAGGGGAGATTGAAAGAGAAGGTAAATTGCTGAATGTGCATTAATATCGCAGTGATCTGAGTGCTTTCTTATTTCGTAGTATCTTCTCCCTTGCAAGATTCAAACTTGGGCATTTGTTGGCTACCACAGCCACACTTAGGCTTTCATCACTGAGCTATGCTCCAAAGGCAAATTTATTTAATCAATTATCCATGAACCATGGTCTACAATAAAAATAAATAAATTTTTAATATAATAAAAGTACATTATTTGTGTACTGAAGGTACATCATACTATCAAATAATGTACATTCAATATATAAATAATATATCTTTAGTATATTAAAAATGTAACTTTATTTATGGTTTAGACAATTGTGTCGACCATAGTCCACATAAAAATTTGCCTAACTTATTATTATTATGTTACTATGCACTTTGAACTCAAATTTTTATCTCTTAAATGGACCGGTTCAAATGTGAACTAAAAAGTGCACAACTAAAAACTATAAAGTACATTAGTCTTTCAGTTGAACTTTTATATATCAAATTAGTTCAAATGTGGATAGTGCGAATTTATCATTATGTATGCAAAAATGCACCACATAGTGTTCAGAAATATATCGATGCACAACAAAAATGCATCATACTGCACCACATCTAATGGTGCATTTTCGAAGATTTTGTGATGCATTTCAAAGTAACTAATAGTCAGTGACTGCACGGAAAACACTGTTCGCACAGGAACCTGACTCTAGGACACACATATTGTTTACTTATCTTCAGATGCAATTGGTAGTTTGGTGCCATACACTTCCGCAGATAGATGCACATTTTATTTTTATTTGAATCGTCTTCTATTCTTGGTTTTTTTGGTCATTATCTTCTAATCCGTATCATTTTATTATTAGGCATTCGTTTAATTTGAATATTTCACGCATCCTGCAATAATTTTGATAACTATATTATAGAATTGAAAGATCAAAATGTACTTACACTTGTGTAATAAGGGCATGGAATTAGAGTTTGAAGCAAGGCGGGAGGCGTAGACGCAGGCAATTGTATTGTCGTCTTCAATTCTGCAATGCTTTTTCCCACACACTGCACTGCACTTGAGGGGAAGCCATGAGAGCTCAAACCCATAAGCTAGTGCGTCATGGATTTTCCCAAGAGACATCTTTCCTGGGTATGGAGACAGCTGAGATGTGGAGAACCAAGCAGCGCCGGTTATGCTGCAAGAATCCTCAATTTTTCCGACATCTACATGTTTCCCAACTAAGACATAGGAAAAGGATGAATCCTCGGATTGGGATTTCACGTACAAGGAAGAGTTTGCAGGGTTTCTGCAGCTGAGGAATGCCGCCGGCGAGTTGAACCGGCGCTGGAATAAGTGATATCTTCTGGGCAGGTGTTGGGGATTGAGATTGTGAAGAGGGAAAGGGGAAGAGGTGTGGGTTTTGTTTTGTAGGCCGGGATCGAGGATTCGGATTGAGAAGTTAGTGTAAGTGATTGAGAGCACAAAATATTTTTTGGAGTTGAGGTTTAGAATGGTGCGGTTGTTTTGGCAGGTGAGTTCGTAGGTGGAGAGGCCGCAGGAGGAGTTTGGATCGCCGGCGGTTAATCGGAAGGGATAACGGATGTCTTGAATGTTGCCGCAAGAAGCAGAGCAGCTTCTCTTTTCTTGATGAGCTCTGCAATTTGTTGCACACAAAATCGCCAATATTATTACAAGTCTCATCATTTTCTCTCTCTTTGATCTGTGGAATAATTTGTTTGATGTGTTTCTTAGTGATTTTGGACTTTAAGAGCAATGGGTTGGGATTTCTAAATTATCCACAGCTTGACTTGCCATTGGCTGTCTTCGTTCACCATTCAATTCGGCACGCCAATACTGATTAATGATCAGAGCATGCAGTAGTTTTGAGAATTTTTCTTTTTTTTTTTTTTTGTTTTTTTTTTTTGTTTTTATACAATACTTTTAGCTTACGACTAATCAACCCCTAAAACTCCTACTCAAGAGTCATGAGAGAGGTAAATTTTAAGTCGTTCAAGTATCCTCTCAGTCAATTTCTATCATTGATTATGCGCACAAGAGGTCCATCTTCCGTTAATTTGGGAAGCCTAATTTCCAATCTAGAGAGTTCAATGACCCAAACTTTGGCATGGGGAGCCATAGCTCAATTATTTTCATATTGTATTATGGACCCTAACCCAAAAATTGTGTGTTTGTAGTTGATGTATTCTGTCTCTAAAGTTAATGTGTCTGTAAATAAATTAAAGACACGTAACATGTTAACTACATACACATCAAATGTTAATTGCATGTACAGAATATGTTAACTGCATAACATATTACGTGTCTGCCGTTAACATATTGGCGTATTTGGTAAATGGTTGTTAGCGGATAGCTGTTAACTGATTGGGTTAGTGGATATAATTAGTTGATAGCATTAGTTGATTGTAGAAAACTGTTTGGTAAATTAGCTGTTAGCTAATTACATACAAAATGACTTTCTCAAGAAGCTTATCAGATCAAAAAAACTACTTTGAGTAGCTTTTTGAATTTTAGCATTTTAGAGGAATAAGTTGTTACAAAAAGTTAATTAATCAAACACTCATCTAGATTGTTTAACTAAGTCAAACAACTAATAGTTGTCAAATAAGCCAAAATTAACATATAGGCTAACTATTTTACCAAACTACTAATATTGGTCAAATAATTATATTTGAATCGAAGGTTATTTTGAATCAAGATTCACAATGTAGACTTGATCCATCGTATAATCTGTCACCATGGGTCCAAAATGGCAATTTATATCGTGCACCAGGGTGCACATTGCATTGTGCGCCCTGGTGCAAAACCACGTCGTTTTGCACTTTTTTTTTTGAAAATTTCGTTTTTCCATGTTTGCTGTTAACTTGTCAAAAAAATTTATGTTTTGAAAATGTACATAATTGTATACTAAAATGTACATAATTGAATATGAGAATGTACATAAACTTTTAATTGTTAAAAAAAAGCACGTGTTTGAATATACATAATTGTATAAAAAAATGTACATAATTGTATAAAATAATGTACATAATTGTATAACATAATGTACATAATTATATAACATAATACACATACACTCTGTCGCGTTGACTCCCTACCCGACTTATCAAAACGACGTCATTTTGTGGGAAGCGAGGCGCACACAGTGCTATGTGCACCGTGGTGCAGGGTATAACGATTGGTCCAAGATGTTGATGAGCAGATGAGATTTTTATGACTATGATAGACTAGTTTGATCCACTAATGTTGTTTTCCCCGGCCTCCAACAGCAATGGAGAGCCATAACCGACGACGACTTTGAATTAGTATTAGCAACAAAAGTCAAGTTTTGGCTGTTTGCTTGCTTTGCGCCCACTTGCACGTAGAGGCAATTAATGAGGAAATTAACTGCAGATAATAAGAATAGATAGGATAAACTCCGATCCTCACAAAATAATTAAGCACATACACTTGATTGGATCAATAATTCATTATTTCTCTACACAAATGACCACCTCGTACTTCATACATCTTCTCCTTGTTGTGATCTTTGGCAGCAGCGTTTGTTATGGGCATGAGCATGAAGATTGCGAGCCAAAAAGATGCGATGAGAAGGGCGGCCCAGAGGTTGTGTTCCCGTTTAGACTGATAGACAAACAGCCGGATGAGTGCGGGTACCATGGGGGGTTTGAGCTTTCATGCACTAAAACCGGTGAAACTGCAATGAAAATCCCATTCCCAGTAAACCCATCAATCAACCTTCCAATTCATCTCTCCCCCTCCTCACTGAATTTGATCGTCAAGACAATCGATTACGAATCTGAGACGATGGAGATATCTAAGGTGGATGGGTGCCACCCAGCGCTGCTTTCCATACTAGATTCATCATCATCTCCCTTCCAATTTCGCCGGCAATCACAAGAAGGGAGCGTTGAGATAAGCTTTTTCAGTTGCTCCTCCTCCACCATCGGCTCTGGGTCGTCGTCTCATCATCAGCTTATGATGCCCATCTCATGTCTCAACAAACCCGGCGGCGGCCACCATGTCTATGCGGTGGCCTCTCACCGGCAAATCTCTGATGTTCTCCCGCTCCTAGTTTCTTGCACTAAAATGTTTAGCGCTTTGTCAATGGATTCTTGGGTGCAACCTGGTGGTAGTATTGAGCTGAATTGGAAAGCGCGTAGCTGTAAAGAGTGTAGTGGAGCCGCCGGAGGAGGAGACAGGTATTGCTGGCTGGAGAACACCACTTCACAACAACAACAACTCGAGTGCTCTGCAGAAAAAGGTCAACTAACTTTCATCCTCCCTTTTTCCAATGTAAATCTTAATTTGTTTCCTTTTAGAAGTACAAATCTTGGAAAAAGGTCAAAAGCTTGTGGAACTATCTCACATTCTCACGGATTTTTGTCCGTGAGATGTAAAGATCAACTTGTAGACAAGTAAATATTATAATTTCAGTTATAAGTATTACTACAATAATTTTCATTAGTAATAATAAGTTTTACTATACCCTGAATAGTATCACAATTTCATATCTAAGTATTACAATATCTATAATAAGTAACGAATTATTTTTAGTTCAAAGTGGTATTAAATTTTATGCAGGACCACAAAAACAAAAGGTCTTTTTTGCATGCAACGTACGTTGTAATGCACAGTGATGTGTGCACCATGACCTACTATACATCACAACTCAGCAGAAAGCAACGTGCGAACAAATGGCTACTCTCACGTCAGACTGACTTACGAGTTTCAATTCATGACTTGGATCTAATAAAAATTAGTTATAACATAATTACATATAAAAAATGTTGGAAAAATAGTATTAAAATGACATTTTAAGTGGCTATTTTGTGGTACAATTATTAGTGGAGTCCACTTTCGATTTGAGTCGGGTCAAAGTGGATATATATACTTGTGTGTGTATATATAAATATTATTTTACGATATTAAATCGATTTTTGGTTCATTATCACCAACAAAAAATGCTATAAATCCTTAATATTTTTTTTCCTTCCAGTTAATTTCTCATGACGTGACAACATTTAATTGGTAGCTAAATTTTATTTTGAATTAGTGATGGTATATTGGTATCAACCAATTCATGACACTCAATGAATATATGTTACATTAGGAAGGAAAATGCTATTATTGGAAGAATAAAGAATCAATATCACATCTACTCTACTGAGGCTTAAATCCACAACCTCCCACATAAATGAGCAACTTGTGCCAATGGACCACAAGGTCCTTGGCATATGATCAATATTTAAGTCTTATATATAATCTATTTTAAACAAAAAAAAAAAAAAAAAAAAAGTCTGTTGACTCAAAGTATTTTGTCAAAGTTATGTGCAAAAAGAATTCCAGTTCTATAAAGGAATATCAGTACTAAGAGGAATAGTTATTGAAGAATACTAGTTCTAAGGGGATTTGTTGTTGAAGATTTTCTAGTTCTATTTTGATTAGGAATAGTTTGTTATTCACGAATCTGTTAGAAATAGCTACTATAAATAGGGGATGTCCTTTATTGTAGACCTCAAGCATTCAACATCTAATTGTGAGGTACGAGAGTCTTTGAGAATAGGATACTAAATTCCCCTAGAAAGTAGTACATGTGTTTAGGTTTCAATAGTTTGGTAGGAAAGATCATTCTATTGTGTAATCTCAGGTTCCAAACAGTGTACTTTAAATATTGAGCTTTTAGTGGATTTAGGCAAGTTCTCAAATTGAGAAGTGCCTCGCAGATTAGGGTTGTTTGCCCGAACTGCGTTACAGATCGTTTGTGTTACAACGTCAGTTTCAACATCCGCTTTACAAATTTTCAAAGTCTTTTTATTATATTGATGAATTCCTTAATTATTGCTTATCGAACATGTCGTTTGCCATGCAAGTATAGCTATTCTCAGTTCTGCTAATTAATATAATTTGCTTCTCTTTGGACAATGCAGGTTTACACGACATCTGGTTGAGTAAGTCACACTCCTTCAGTTCTATATATAGTCGTATACAGAAATATAGAATCCTTAAAAGGTTATCTGCATGCTCACAATTTTGAGCAAATACCAATTTTGGTTCCACGAGTATTAGCAAAATGACGGTTTTTGTCCACATGTTTAATTCCTACCAACTTTCATCCACAACTATTGTTTTAGTACCAATTTTAATCCACAACTATTAATTTAGTACCAAAATTCATCACGTCGGTCACCCATCCATTTAAGACATCTCAAAATCTAAAAATTTTAAGGGCATTTTCATCTTTTTCAACTTAAGATTCCAATTTGTGCATAAATAAATGAATTTAAGTTCTAAGATCGATCCTAATTCGCTGTTCTCCCCCTCATCCTACATTAATTTGAGGAGGAAAAACTTCTAATTGGGATAGATCTTAGAGCTTAAATCCCTTTATTCATGCTCAAATAGGGATCCTAGTTTGAAAAGCATGAAACTACCCTTAATAATTTCATATTTCGGTATGACTTAAACGAAAGGTTGACCGGCGTTATGAATTTTGACACTAAAACAATAGTTGTGGATGAAAATTGGTACTAAAACAATAGTCATGGATGAAAATTTGTAGAAATTAAACATGTAAACCAAAATTGTCATTTTACTAATACTCGTGGGACCAAAAATGGTATTTGCTCTCACAATTTTTCTCCACGGAAACACAAGCATAAACACAAAATGGAAATGTTCAACCTAATTTTCATACTAATGTATGTTAACCCTATTAATTCATTCAATTTACAATACTCAATAAATATAGATTTTTTTAAAAAAAAAAATTTAAACCTTATAAATAGTATCACATCAAGATTTGAGGTAAAATTAAGATGAGAAAACAATATATATTTTTCATATAATTAACACTTGCATTATATTACTTTAATATATATTATAGAAGATAGAACAGAGAAAATGGAAATTATCCATCCTTTATATATATATGGGGTAATCAGGTAATGCTCCTATGAGATTATGAGAACCATATACCTTCTCCATATAAGATCAGATCTAAGCATTCTTCCAAAAAAAGAACAGATCTAAGCAGTAGAAATTAAGAGATCAATAACTATGATTAAAAATTCAACACCCTAAATTTATGCACCTAATCTGCAATCCAAATCCCCAATAATATCAATTAAGGGGTAAATCTATCTAAACAAAATTTTAAATTTCATCAAAATAAGTAAGTCAGCAACAAAATAAACTCATCCATGTAATGGGAGTATATATGGACATATCATATGCATTGTAATAGAGCCACTAGTACTCAAAAAAATAATTATAATTAATTATTAAAATAAACTTATTTTAAAATTCATACCTAAAACTAAAAATAATTTATGGTTAATTCAACGAATAAAATAATATATTTATGTCATCATTTTACAACTTGTTGACCTAAACAACTAATTTACTAATCATCACTAGCTTTCCTACAAACAGCAAATACTACATACCATCTAATAAAAATAGTTAACATAATCAACTATCAGTTATAAGCTAGCTATTTGATAAATACTCCCAATATCAAAACTGACCACATTATTGTATTCTGTCAAAATTTTGAGGAAAGATTCAATGTAAAATTGTTAACGTCGTTGCTTGTCCACCGACAATGCAGGTATAGAAGATATAAGGAGAGGTAACCATTCGTATCTATCTCTGTTATTATTGTAGCACTAAGTTAATTAGCTTCTCTATGCTTATTTCTTGATCTCTAACATTGCTTTCTCCTTGGACAATGCAGATATACCACATCTGTGGGAGGGTAAGCATTTATCATTATTTTTTTCCATAGATGATGCTCCATATACAAAATTTGTAGTTAATAAATTTAAAATGTATCACATTTAATTTAGTTATATCATATGGTACGAAAGTTGGTATAAAAAAAAAGTTAGTACATTAATTTTTTTAAAAAAATTATTTGTAGCTTGTGCTAACTAGTTTATTCCTTTTTCTTGGCGGGCATTTAAAAGATTACAAACAAGACATCTGCGATATCATTGGTATGATTATCTCCTTATAAAGTTATAGAAATTGATTCAATTCAGGTTTATCCGTGAGACGAGTCGGGTGAATATGAAAATGTAATACTTATATTAAAAAATGTACTACTAATCAAGAATAAAGTGTTTGTTACTTATCAGAGGAGAAGTGTAATACTTTTGAACAAAAATATAATACTTTTGCATTTTATTCATTTTCAACAAAAGTATTACAATTTCCCTTATAACTAATTAACAAATACTTTATTCCTTATTATTATTATTATTACATTTTCATCTTGACCCAACTCGTTTCACGGACAAGGATCCATGAGACGGTCTAATACAAATTTTTGTCTTAATTTTTTTTATGAGTTAATACCATTTGAGGTCCTCCGAGTATAGTGGTTTTGCCATGTTTAGTCCTAAACTTTCAAATTGACCATATGTGGTCCTTCGACTTTCAAACTTAACCATTCGTGGTCCAAGTTAACCACACATGGTCCTTCAACTATTAAATTTTAACCAACCATGGTCCTTTCATGAGGACCACTACTGGTTAAATTTTGAAACTTGAAGGACCATGGGTGGTTAACTTGGACCACAAATGGTTAAATTTGAAAGTCGAAGGACCACAAATGGTCAATTTGAAAGTTTATGACTAAACGTGGCAAAACCACTATACTCGGAGGACCTCAGATGGTATTAACTCTTTATATATATATATATATATATATATATATATATATATATATATATATATATATATATATATATACATACTAGTCCAAATGCAGACAGTGATTCCCATACGGTCAGTGCGAATTCACTATCAGGTATGCATAAATGCACAACACAGTGTTCGGAAATGCACTACACAATGTTTGGAAATGCACCAAAAAAATGCACCACACACCAAAAAAAATGCACTACACACTAAAAAAATGCACCACACATCACCACACCTAATGGTGCATTTTCGAACACTTTGTGGTGCATTTATGTGGACCTAATAGTGAGTGACCGACTGACCGCATAGCCACACCGAAAGCACTGTCCGCACGGGGAACTTGACCATATATATAATAATAATAATAATAATAATAATAATAATAATATTAATAATAATAATATAATAATAATAATAATAAGGAAAATGACACTTTTTCCCCCCTGAGTTATATACCTATAGCATTTTTCCCCCCTAAATTATTGAAGTGGCTGTTTTCCCCCCTGAAATGTTAAATGGACATATTTACCCTTAAACTAAATATTTAATTTATTTTTTTTTCTCCAACAAATTATGACCATAATTTGGTTCAAACCAAACAAACACTATAGCAACCAAACCGAAATATTCCAATTACAATTTAGAATCGAAATTCGATATTTAGAGTTTATTAAAATCGTGAACCGGAACGGACGGTTCATGTTTCGAACTGAAAAAATAAAATACATTTATTGTTGAATTTAGACTATTTTAAAATAAAAAATAAAATTTTAAAATAAAGATGGTTCAAAATCGCGAATCGGATCCGGAACCGCCGGTTCACGGTTCAAGATTCAATTTTTTTGATACATAATTTTAATAAATTGACATTTAAATATTGGATTCTAGATCTGAATTATAACCGGAAACTATTAATTCGATTGCTTTAGTATCCGGTTCAATTCAAACCGAACCGTGGTCATTCCTACGTATACGCAATAATTTGTTGTAGTAGTAAAATAAATAAAATGTTTACTTTAAGAGTATAAATGTCAATTTAATATATCATGGGGAAAAAGCACCACTTTTAGAATAATTGAGGGGGCTAATGTGCTTACCTAAATAATTGAGGGGGAAAAAGTGCTATAAGTATATAACTCAGGGGTAAAAAGTGCCATTTTCCCTAATAATAATAATAATAATAATAATAATAATAATAATAATGCTTTCCTTTTCTTGTGCGAGTGTGCAGGTTACATTGCGTTAAGATTTTTATTTGGATTTTTGTTACTTCTCGCATTAGTGGTGTATAAACTACGGAGGCGACACTTATCTGCATATGACGCCATTGAAGACTACCTAAGTGGTCCAAACAATAATCTAATGCCAATAAGGTACACTTACTCCGACATCAAGAAGATGACAAAAGGTTTCAAGCACAAGTTGGGAGAAGGCGGCTTCGGAACTGTGTTCAAAGGAACACTTCGAAGTGGCCCTTTCGTTGCCGTAAAGATGATGGGAAAATCCGGAGCTATAGGCAAAGAATTCATCAGCGAAGTCGCCACTATTGGCAGGATTCATCACACCAATGTGGTGCGACTCATCGGCTTCTGTGTCGAAGGCTCGAAACGTGCCCTCGTGTACGAATTCATGCCTAATGGATCCCTGGATAAGTACATATTCCCGAAGGAAGAACGTCTTTTCTTGAGCTATGAGAGAACGTTCGAGATTTCCCTGGGAGTTGCCCGGGGAATTGACTATTTGCACCGGGGTTGTGACATGAGGATACTGCATTTCGACATCAAGCCTCATAACATTCTTCTGGACGAGAATTTTAGCCCGAAAGTCTCGGATTTTGGGCTTGCAAGGTTGTACCCCACGGAAGGGACTATACCCTCGCTTACCGCGGTGAGAGGCACAATGGGGTACATGGCACCCGAACTATTCTACAGAAACATAGGCGCGATTTCGCATAAGGCCGATGTTTATAGCTTCGGGATGTTGATAATGGAAATGGCGGGGAGAAGGAAAAACTTCAACCCATTGGCAGAGCAGAAGAGCCAAATTTACTTCCCTACCTGGGTTTACGAGCAATTATTGAAAGATGAAAAGGGCATAATCGATATGGGAGATTCGAGCAGCTGGGAAGAAAACAGGTTGGTGAAGAAGATGATAATGGTGGCACTGTGGTGCATTCAAATGAAGCCCGAAGAGCGGCCAAGCATGAACAAAGTTGTGGAGATGCTTGAAGGGGAGGTGGAAGGGGTAGAGATGCCACCCAAACCATTTCTATCTCATGATGAATTGCCAGCTGATGAGAACTCCATTGCTGAAACTCCGAGCTTGGACTCATCGCTCTTTTCATCGTCAGATCACCCCTTGTGGTCCTCTAGTCTAGAGTCACATAAAAACTAAAGAATATAATATGTATTTGAGTTTCCATTGATGCATATTGTAGTATATCAAATTGAACAAGCTTGATTTGCTATGATGTAGTGCATTTCTGAACCTTTAAAAAAAAAAAAATTGGTACAAACAAAATAAAATGTTCAAAGAACAATTAAAAAGCGACACACAAAAAGAATTAACGCCTTACTTCCATTAATTCTGATATTTGGCACATGAAATGAGTTAAAGGAAAGTTGTTTTTTACTTTTAGGGTGCGTTTGGAAATCTGAAAAATATTTTTCAGAAAATGATTTTTAAACAATATTTTAATTTTTCAGTGTTTGGCTGAAGTTCAGAACACTATCTTTTTCTATTTGACTGAAAGTAATTAATACATTTTATTTTTTGATTTGGTTCATTTTTTGGAAAGTCGATCTATACTAGATTACTAGATACTTAAACACAAAATAAAGCACGACTGTTATATTTTACAAAATGAATATCAAAATATACTACTCCATACTTTTGCAATGATAATGGGTGAATACAAAGGCAAATTATTGTATGGATCATGGTCCACACAATGTTATGTGGACCATAATAAAATGTACATTTTTAATATACTAAATGTACATTATTTTTGTACTGAATGTACATTATAAAATATAATGTACATTCGGAACAAAAATAATGTACATCCCCTGAATATAATGTACATTATTTTTGTACTGAATGTACATTATTTTTGTACTAAATGTACATTATTTTACAGTAGACAAAATATGGTCCACACAACTTGTGTGGACCATGGTCCATACAATAATGATTGGAATACAAAATGTACATAAAAATTACTTCATCTGTCTCATTTTATCTGTCATACTTACTATTCATTGGTCAAATCAATTCTTTCTTCTTTGTTTATTTTCTTTAATATTTTTTTTTTTACTTATTTTTAAATTTGAGTTTTTGTGTTTAATAGTACTTTTAGTGTAGTTTCTAAATATATAAATTTTGTACATTAATACTAAATTTAATATTATGAAAAATTGGATTAAAAATAGCTTCAGTCAAGTCTCGTTAACCGAACCTGACACAAAATGAGATGGAGGGAGTACTATTTAACGCTTGAAATTGCTTCATTTAAAATTTTCGGATCACAGGAAATAATAGCAAGTAGTCGACCTTCTCATTCCAACTTTTGCTTATTTATGTGCTAAAACTTGTAATATTTCCCTCAAGAGGTTTTCATAACTTCAATCATGCAAAGTTGTATAGTCAAAAAAACATTACTAAGACTTTTCATTGATATATCATCAAAAGCTTTTTGAGTAGCAGCAACAAGTTCATCAACATTATGTGGAGTTTCTTGATATTGCAAAGACTAAATAGCTCTAAAAAAACCTAAGATCTAGCACATTCATGTCCGGACTATTTGGTGGTTGATATGTTATCAAATTAAAGCCATCTTTTAGGGCAGCTTCAGGAAATTCAGCATTATTTACCCTAATGTGCGGTCTTGCATTGTCTTGTTGAATATATATAGACTTTGAACTACTAAGTGTCCACTTTGCCCGTATTGCAGGCAATACATAATCAATCAACTATTTTCTAGTAACTTCTTTAATTATTTACTGATTCAATTGGATTAGTTACCAATGTTCCAATTTCTCAATGTTTACTTCTAGACTTGGGCTCTGTTTGGCAGAGCTTATTTAGGAGCTTATAGCTTATTTTAAGCTACTAATAAGCTATAAGCTCTGTTTGGTAATGTTCCCAAAATAAGTTCCTAGCTTAAAATAAGAGCTTATTTTGGAACGCTACCTTAGGTAGCGTTTCAAAATAAGCCCCTAGCTTCCTAACTTTTTTTTTCCCATCTTTATCCTTATTATATTAAAGAAATGACATAATTTACCCTTCTCAATTAAAACCCTTTTCTCTTTTCTCTTTTCCTTTATCCGCAACTTTGACCACAATTATTATTATTATTATTTTTTGAAGAGATTATTATTATTATTATTATTATTATTATTATTATGAAATTTTGCAACAATATTGCTACTTCATTATGAGATGTTAGATCATGATTATGCTAATAGTTTTATTTCGAAATGTTAACTTTTAATATGTAAACAAACTAATTCATGTTTTATGAAGATGTCCTTTTTAGTCTTTGTACATTTATCAACTTATCAAAGCTAATTTTACCAAACACTTTCAATCATAACAACTAGCTTAACATCTCTTCAGTTTTCAGCTCCGAGCTTATAGCTTTTCAACTTTCAACTCCTTTTCAACTTTCAGCTCCTAGCTTATAGCCTAGGTTTGCCAAACAGAGCCTTAGTTGCATCCTTATAAATAAACTAGTTTTTTACGCGCATTGCGCGATTGGGATAATGCCCAATGTTTTTTTTTTTTTTTTAAAATAAGTACTTTAAAGTATATTAAGAATTTGCGTATTTAAATAGGTAATTCTTCTCCCAAAGGTTGAGTCCCCAACCCCAAGGGCCCCCCACACTCCGACCCGACAGAGCATTGTGGGAAGTTGTAAATCACGGTGACTCAATGGTTCAGCAGACAGGACCAAATGCCGGTGCGAATAAGGAATCTGCCCACTTTGGACATAATTCCCGCACTGCCGCCGCCGAGGTTCAAACCTTGGTCTCTTCTCCCAAATACTGCCCACTAAACCATTGAGCTAAGCCCGTGCGGGTTAAATAGGTAATTCTAAGTTTACAAATGCAAGATAATATAGTCAAGACTGATTATAATTGTCAATAAAATAATTGTATAGGTATGGTTGAAACCAAATACGGGACATAAGGGAGAACAAATAAAAATTAGGGCATAAAATATTAAATATATACTAATATTGTTTGAGGAGATTTCGACATTAGGATTTGTGGTTAAGTTCTATTAAGACTTTAATATTAGAATTAGATTAATGGTGTAATTATAATTCTATATTAGACGTTAACATTAGAATTAAACTAACGGTGAATTAACGGAAAAGTTAAATGGATAATCATATAATTAAGGATAAATTAGAAAAACTTTAAAAAAAATAAAAACCTGAACAATTTGAACCATTCATTTGATTTAATAATTTGGCGGTCATTTTTTCTACCCAATGTTAATAATTAAATAAATTCGTTGGTCAAATCCGCTAATATAATCCGCTAACTGCGGATTGTCAAACAAGGACATTGCAAGGTAGTTCTCACTTCAATTTGTTGTGTGATTTGAATACTCTCTTTGTCACAAAATCTCTCAAGTAGTTAATATGGTTGGCTTTATTAATTATATATTTTTTTTTAATTTTTTCATGGTATTAATAAAATACTTGGTAAATAAATATATAGCATTATTTTGTATTATAACTTTGATATTTAATTAGAAAAATAGTGCACAAAAAAAGATAATAGACAATGTAGTGAATATAATCAATTGATGAATTTGAATGTAAAAATTTTTACATTTGAGAAAAATAAAGACAATATAACTAATGAAAATATTTCTCTTAATTAATTTATTGATAATGAATAATTTTTTTTCACTGAATTAAGACATTGTAAGGACAATGTAGCGAATATAATCAATTAATAAATTTGAATATAAAGAATTTTTATATTGTAGAAAAATAAAGACAATATAACTAATACAATTCTTTCTCTTATTTAATTTATTGATAATGAATAATTTTTTTTTGAATAAAGGCATTGTGGACACATAATTCTAAATTAAAGAAATGCATATCTATAATTTTTTGTTGTAGCTACTAAATTATTATATATATATATATATATATATATATATATATATATATAATTTAATAAAACCAGGACTATGTGGTCTAATGGTATCCGGGTTGGACTTCCATTTGGAAGATTGTGATTTTGAGCCTCAGTGGAGGCGTTATTGGCTCTTGTGGCTCTTTGTGTTTCAGTAGGTTGAGAAAGTATATGAACAGATACTACATTGTAATAGAGCTAGTAGCATTCAAAAAAAAAATAATAAGAGTAAAATAGAGTATTAATTATGCCAACTTTGATTGGGATGAGGTTCGAACCTAAGACATTTTTTTTTTATTGAAATCAATGAGTAAGTTAACGGTGAACTAACGGCAATTCTTAAAATTTTAACGGAATTAGTAACGGTGTGTGGGTATTTTAAGAAATTTTAGTGTAAAATTTAAATCTTATCAAATCTGAGCTATTCATTTGATTAAAATCTGTGACCGCCATTTTTTCTACCCATTATAAGCCTAACTCTCTTGGGCTCTTATTAGTATGTATATATATATATATATATATATATATATATATATATATATATATAGATAGATATATGGAAATACTTCAATTTTTTTCCATCAAAAATTTAATTTCTCTTTGAATCAAATTGTGGGTGGGTAACAACACATAGAAACATCACTTGGACTATAAACTATCAGAACGCATGGGATGTCCTGATAACATCGATAATTCTGTGCTTTCAGTGTAAGTAGAGGTAGTAATCTCATCATCATCTGTTGGGAGATCATCGGCACACAGAAAAGGCCTGGGAGGCATTTCTAATACTTCAACATCTCCTTCAAGCATCTCTACAACTTCATTCATGGATGGACGATCACTAGGCTTCATTTGTATGCACCAAAATGCCGCTATTATCATCTTCTTTACCACCTTCTTTTCCACCTCGGTTGCATCATCCATGTCCATATCCTTCCCGTCCTTGAATCGCTCATAAACCCATGAAGGGAAGTAGTTTTGGCTTGTGTGCTCCACCATTGGATTTAAGTTCTTCCTTCTCCCTCCCATTTCCATTAATAACATCCCGAAACTATAAACATCGGCTTTATGTGAAATCCCGCCTATACTTCTGTAGAATAGTTCTGGTGCCATGTACCCCATTGTGCCTCTGGCTGCGGTGAGTGGCACGATACTATCTTTAGTGGAATATAATTTTGCAAGACCAAAGTCGGAAATTTTAGGACTGAAATTCTCGTCGAGAAGAACATTATGAGGTTTGATATCGAAATGTAGAATTCTCATGTCACAACCTCGGTGCAAATAATCAATCCCGCGAGCAACTCCAATGCAGATCTCAAACATTTTGTCATAACTCAAGGAATGACGACTTTCTTCTTTTGAAAATATGTACTTATCTAGGGATCCATTGGGCATGAATTCATATATAAGTGCATGCTTTGAGCCCTCAACACAAAAGCCAATCAATCGCACAACATTGGTGTGGTGAATCCTGCCAATTGTCCCAACTTCACTTATGAAATCTTGGGCATTGGCTTTGGATTTGCCCATCATCTTTACGGCAACAAAAGGGCCACTTCGAAGTGTTCCTTTGAACACAATTCCATAGCCTCCTTCACCCAATTTGTGCTTGAAATTGTTGGTCATCTTTTTTAAGTCAGAGTAGGTGTACCTTATTGGCATGAGGTGATTGTTTGGACCATTTAGATATTCTTCAATGGTGTGATAAGCAGACAAGTGCCGCCGCCGTAGTTTATACAATACTATGCTGAATAGAAACAATAACCCCAAAAGAAATCTTCCCGATGCAATGGCACCTGAATCATATCGTTATACAAAACATTAAAAATAAGAAGTAAAAAGATCAAACATTGTTACCAAAATGTTGAATTTCCAATCCGACCCGATAGAGCATATGAGAAAATGTAAATCATAATAACTAGAGCTGAATATGTGCACTTTGAGAGAAGAAAATGTAAATCATGGTAACTCAACTGAATATATGATAATTCAGTTGAACTCCCCTCACTTGGAGAGGTTGTTCCCACACTGTCTTTGGTGAAACTCATCCCGAGTCATTGTTCTTAAATTTCACCCCTGTGACTAATTGAGGTGTCCATGCGGGGGAAAGATCAAACATGAATCAATGCACACAGGATTTTAAGGAGATAGAGAATCATACCGATGAGTCTTCTTAGTTCATTTTGTTCATCTGTGATTTGGGAAAAGCAAAATAGTGAGGATGACTGGATGATGTATTAATGTATTATGTATATGAGAAAAGACTACAAAGTGGAGGAGAGTGAACTTACTTTGCCATATGTATTTTAGACCTACATTAACCAATAAGAAGTAGTCAATGTTAGCGTAGTTCAGAAATGTGATCACTGGAAAATGTTAATAGCTAACCAATAGGAAGGTCAATCTTAATTTGAAGTTGATGGGCTGTGTAAATAAGCCCAATGACCTGAACCGCAATCGTTATGCTATGGATCCGTGTCCAGCATGTATTATGGACACGGTAACAGTACTGTTAGTGGCACCGTCACTATTGAAAATTATTGAATTTCCGACCACCTGAAAGTGATCTTAAATCAAGTTGAAAGTCTTGTTCCGACCACTTTTGGTATCCGGAAAAACCTTTGTTGCTATTTTCGAACACTTTTTTGACTTTTTAGTATCAACTTAATTTAAGATCATTTTCAGATAGTCGGAAATTCCATAATTTCCAGTAGTGTGTTATCTTCCACTTTTTTTTTTTTTTTTTTTTTTTTTTTTTAAATTCAGATCGCTTCGTTATAGGAGTATATGTTCATAATTTTATCACTATATGTTCATAACTGTAAGTTCATAATGTCAGAGCTCTGTGTTCATAATTTCATAACTGTACATTCATACTTCAATAACTGTACATTCATAATTCCGTAACTGTACATTCATAATTCAATAACTGTAAATTCATAATTTTTGAAGCTCTATGTTCACATTATTAGAGCTCTATGTTCATAATTTTATCACTATATGTTCATATTGTAAGTTTATAATATCAGAGCTCTGTGTTCATAATTCCATAACTGTACATTCATAATTCTATAACTGTACATTCATAATTCTATAACTGTACATTCATAATTCAATAACTGTACATTCATAATTTTCGAAGCTCTATGTTCACAATTTTAGAACGTTATGTTCATAATTTTATCACTATATGTTCATAATTGTAAGTTCATAATATCAGAGCTCTGTGTTCATAATTCCATAACTGTACATTCATAATTCCATAACTGTACATTCATAATTGCATAATTGTACATTCATAACTCCACAAACGAATAACGCCGTTAACGGCGAGAAAAAAAAAAAAAAAAAAAAAAAAAAAAAAAAAAAAAACTGAAATGCCACGTTTTCCCTAAAAACGACGTCGTTTTGGACTCGTGCCCACAATACATTGTGAACACGAGTCCACAGCATAATTTGCGCCTGAACCGATTGTTCAAAATTTAGTGAGCTAGTTCGATAGTTTAAGCCATTTAAGCTTTAATTTGTTTCACAATAGATGCAGAACTAAAAAGAATTTATTTTAATTACTACATTATAGTATAAATACTTTAATGATTTTTAGTTAGAATTTAAAAATTAAGGTTTATATTGATTTAGTGATGTATAAATTTATATTCATTAGTGTAAATGCATGCACTAGTCTATCAAAATTAAAAATTCATAATATTACTTTTGAAATGTCAAAAGTTTTAGTTCACTTTGGCTAATAAACTTAACCCAAAACAGAACAAACTGCACCAATTGACATCCTTATTGCGGAATTCCTACCAAGCAATTAGGGGCAAATTATTGTGTGGACCAAGGTCTACACAATGTTATGTGGACCATAATAAAAAGTACATTTTTAATATACTAAATATATATTATTTTTGTACTGAATGTACATTATACAATATAATGTACACTCAGTGCAAAAATAATGTACATCCCCTAAATACAATGTACATTATTTTTGTGTTGAATGTATATTATTTTTTGTACTGAATATACATTATTTTATAGTATACAAAATATGGTCCACACAACTTGTATGAACCATGGTCGACACAATAATGATTATCATTACATGCCACAATTAAGTAGTTTTAAAAAGAACTAATTTCACTTTTGGTCCCACGACTTTAGAGTTTCTATCATTTTTGGTGCACAACTTTAAATTTTTTTAATTTTGGTGTCTAACTTTGTTATTTTTATCAATTTTGGTCCTTTCGATCAAATTGACTGTGAAATATTGCTGGATTTTACATTTTAGGGGCAAAATCGTCATCCCAAGAAAAGATATTCAATATCTAAACAAAAGAAAAATCATGTTAAGAGAAATATAAGAGTTTGGCAATCGTCGATGCTATAAATCTCATAGATCTGTGTCTAGTTTTTGTCCGTCTTCCCAATTATTCTCATCGATTAAACACTTATAGATATGATTTTAGAGTGATTTTGTTTAGATATTGAAGATGTTTCATTGGGATGACGATTTTACCCCTAAAAATATAAAATCCGGCAATATTTCGTCGTCAATTTGGTTGAAAGGACCAAAATTGATAAAAACAACAAAGTTAGGCACCAAAATTAAAAATTTTTAAAGTTGTGCACCAAAAGTGATAGATCCTCTAAAGTCGTGGGACCAAAAGTGAAATTAATTCTTTTAAAAATGGTGTGGGGAAAGATGAAATGAATGTACTTACACTGGGGTGTTAAGCGGAATTCAAAAGGCTTGAGCTGAAGTGAGCAGTAATAGCCATATCTGAAGCAGGTGGTTGCGGCGCTGATGTAGTCATACCTACAATCGCGGTCATGTTTGTGTAAACACTCGGCACTACAGTTGAAACGAAACCATGGGAGATCAAATCCCCAAGCCAGTGCGTCCCGGAGTTGATGAAAAGACAAAGATGATGAGATCCAAGCAACCCCAATCATGGCACATGAATCCTCTAAGTTTCCCACAATTGCTTTGTTCCTCGCCCACTCATCACCATCTCCAACTAAGGCGTAAGAATGGGAGTAACCCAAAGAGTAGTTATTTCCGCAGAAGCCACTGGCATCTATGTTGACATATAAGGTGGATCGTGCTGGATTTCTACAGACGATGAATATGACAGGATTGTTTATTTCACTTATTGTGGGGAAGGCTTCTGCCCAAAAAGGATTCAAATATTGTGGTGGCACGTCCCCGACGTCCATCAGAGTATAATGGGGGAAAGGCGAGCAGTTATTATTGTTGTTCCTTTCAAGACCGGGATCCAAAATTCGTATTGTAAAGTTGCCATAATTTATGGAAAGAACCAAATATTGCTTAGAGTTGAGAGGTAGAAAGGTGCGGTTTTGTACGCACGAAAGTTGGTAATCTGGATGACCACAGGAGTTGGGATCACCGGCTAATCGGAAAGGGGACTGGATGTTTTGAATGGTACCACAAGAAGAAGAGCAGTTTGTGTGCTGCTGCAGGGCTCTGCAATTCGTAGAACACCAAACAAGACAACTCATTAGAATCACACTACATATTCTTAACACTCTAAGTGCCGCCATCTTCTCCTACTCTTATCTTTACTACTGGATAGGAGGAAGATCAGAGTTAAACTAAATATAATGCTTTTTCTTTTTCTTTTTGTAATGCAAATTCTAGACGATAAAAGCTAAAACAATTGGCCTGCCGGCAATATTGACCAGCTCCTTAATTGCTTGCGTGATTTGCTAGCTAGCGCCGTAGTTCCCTTAGCCTGGCAATATTGACCAGCTGCAGCTCCTTATTCGCTTGTGTGATTGAGGTGTCTCTATGTGGTGATTTTCCATCCATCCAAAATAAAATGAAAAGTCAAGGAAGCACTAAAAGCCATCATTAATTGCATACAAATATCTCAACATGTACATCAAAAACTTCCTGCAGCCTCCTGGGATATGATATAATGACATAGAATGGTTAGGTTGTAACCTTGGGGGTGTGGTTGAACGGTAAGAACTCATTCGTCTTTAACCAAAGGTCAATGGTTCGATTGTTTTGGGTATAGAGCAACCTTAAATCTTCAAGTCAGCTGTCCCGCCAAAAGAGAGGAGCCTTAAATCTTCAAGTTAGTTGTCCCACCCAAAAGATCAAGAAGGTGCTTACAATTCAGCCAGGGGATTAGTCACTGTATCCGATGTGGAAACCCTAGGTACCCCCTAAAAAAGAAGAATGGTTAGGTTGTGGAAATTGAAGATTGATTTCCATTCCAACTAAAAGTTTAATATTGGGAAAAGAGGAAACCATGTGCAATTAAGTTCTTCAATTCCTCCTCCACTCTATATCAAAGTAGCATGGAGTTCTCTCCAGAAATGAAAGGCGGCTACTTCCTGCTGCATCTTCCCATTCTTGTGCTCTTTTTAACCCTCATGATGTCTTTGGGGCATGGTTATGATCATGATGAATGCCTGCCAAGAAGATGTGGGAACAATGGCCCTGAAATCTCCTTCCCATTTCGACTCAAACACATTCACCCTCAGCACTGTGGCTACCCTGGATTTGACCTTTCATGCACTGAAATGGGAGAAACTGTTTTGGAACTGCCCGTTCCACTTCTCAACGGTACCCACCTTCCATATGCAGTGAAGTTTTTTATACATAATATATACTATGAATATGATGCAATTGTAATATCTCCGGTGGATGGCCGCCTCCTACAACTGCTCCCCTTACTAAATTTATCTGCATCTCCCTTTAGCTTGCCGCCATATCTTGATCGCTACAGCATTTTCAACTGCTCCTCAAACAGGACCAGTGACAAAATTCACCTCTCCCCAATCACATGCCTTAGCAAACAAAACCACCATTTTGTTTATGCTGTGGGCTCTTTCCTTGATCTTTACTCTGTAACAGAGCTAATGTCATGCACGAAAACGTTTGAGATTTCAGCCTCCTACGAACTAATACAATATTGTCAATTTCTTCTGAACTGGAATAGACCCAGCTGTGGGCTGAAGAGCAACAGCACCCAAGAAGATGCCTACTGCAGTGGAAAAAGACCAAGTAGAGGTGCAGCATGTTGAGCATATAACCATTAATGTGCAATCTAACTATCGGCTTAAGCTTTTAGTTGAGATGGAGTACATGCTTCAATTCAGCAGTTATTTAAGTACTATGGTCTTCCTATTTCAGTTTTTGGATGATGAGTATGATCGAGACTAACTAATATTGTGTTATCTTCCATAGGTGTACTGGGAAAATTAAAGGTTGCAGGTGAAGTTTTTGGGTCGTTTCTTGCTGTGTTGTTGGTTTTGGGTGCCTACCAGATTTATAGGTCAAAGAAAATGAAGGAGGAGGAGCAAGTGAAGATTGAAAGGTTCTTGGAGGATTATAGGGCTCTTAAACCGGCAAGGTATTCGTATGCAGATATCAAGAAAATTACAGATAGATTCAGTGAAAAATTAGGCGAAGGCTCCTATGGTACAGTGTACAAGGGGAAGCTTTCAGATGATGTTTTTGTTGCTGTTAAGCTCCTCAATAATTCCAAAGGAGATGGAGATGGGGAAGAGTTTGTCAATGAAGTGAGCACAATTGGAAGCATACACCATGTCAACGTGGTTCGACTCGTTGGCTATTGTGCTGATGGGTTCCATCGAGCTCTTGTTTATGAATATTTAGTGAATAATTCTCTTGAAAAATTTATTATATCTTCTTCATCGAACGAGAAGAATTTTCTTGGTTGGGAGAAACTACAACAGATTGCTCTTGGCATAGCCAAAGGAATTGAGTATCTTCACCAAGGGTGCGACCAAAGGATCCTGCATTTCGACATTAAACCTTGTAATATATTGCTAGACCAAAACCTTAACCCAAAAATCTCTGATTTCGGTCAAGCAAAGTTGTGCTCCAAGGAAAACAGCATTGTCTCCATGACTGCGGCGAGAGGAACCATGGGTTATATCGCGCCAGAAGTTTTCTCTCGAAACTTTGGAAATGTCTCGTATAAATCAGATGTTTATAGTTTCGGAATGTTGTTGCTCGAAATGGTGGGAGGAAGGAAAAGGGGTGAAATTTCATCACCTGAAACTAGCCCAGAATGGATTTACAACATCTTAAATAGGGGAGAAGAACTAGAGATCCAGATAGAGAATGAGGATGATTCCAAGATTGCAAAGAAACTAACAGTAGTGGGACTTTGGTGTATTCAATGGTATCCTGTGGACCGGCCTCCCATCAAAGTTGTGATTCAGATGCTTGAAGCTGAGGAGCCTCCCTCCATGCCACCAAATCCTTTTGGTTCCACAGATTCATCTAAGACTAAAGCTACCAAGCCAATGAAACTATTCAATAGTGGACTAGAAATTATATCTGAGTTGGAATGAATTTGTTACAAAATAATGTGCTAAAAAATTTTCTTATTGTCTGTTACAAAATAATGTGCTATAAATTTTACCTATTGTTTGTTGTAATGATGACTCCCAAGTTTGTATTATGCTTTATAATAACTACTATTGCAATGCATTTTGTTTTTAAATTCTTATGACAACTTCATTTCAAAAAAAAAAATTCTTATGACAACTTGGGTAAGATAATAAAAATTCCGACATAATTTTTTTTTTTACTTGTAGAAGTGTATATCATAATTGCACATAATTTTCTCCCATACTTGTGCTGATTTAGAATCTAGGTGGCCACAAATTTCCAATTTCTTTGTTCTTGGTGCTTTTTCAATGGATTAGGGCCACCATAAATTGAAAAATACAGAGCAATGGCCAAAAAAATAACAACGCCATGGACCTTTAGCATGCCTCAGTTGTTACAAGTAATTAATTAACACACACATAAGAAAAAGGACCCATAGTATGCCTCAGTACACACTAGTGGAAATTATGAAATTTCCGACCACCTAAAAGTGATCTTAAATCAAAAGTCTTGTTCCGACCACTTTTGGTATCTGGAAAAACCTTTGTTGCTATTTCCGACCACTTTTTGATATTAACTTGATTTAAGATCACTTTCAGGTGGTCGGAAATTCCATAATTTCCAGTAGTGAGTTGTTACAAGTAATTAATTAACAGACACATAAGAAAAAGGACCCAGAAGATATTCTGTCAATCATTATTGTGTGGATATGGTACACACACGATACAGTTATGTGAATCATACTATCAAATAATATACATTCGATGTATAAATAATATACTTTTAATATATTAAAAATGTACATTGTCTCCAGAAAAAGTATATTGTTTGAGTACTAAAAGTACATTATTTTATATATTGTACCTTCAATAACAAATAATGTATTTTTAGTATATTAAAAATGTACTTTCTATTCTGGTCCACATAACACTGTGCGGACCATAGTCCAGTTAGAGGGAGATTGGAAATTGAAAGATAAATGAAAATAATGCTAAAGACACTTTATACTTTTTGAATCGCGTCCTTTTAATTGCTTCTAGAATGCCTCGTCACGATAGAGGTCACGGCGTGACCTTCATCGTGACTAGGCCTAAGCCTCGCAGGTCTCTGCTGGTCACGGTCAACGTCACACCGTGACTGCCACCGTGACCAGCATCTCTACACAGTATCTTTGGTTTCTAGACCATTTTTCACATTGTAAACTTTCGAACTAGCCTTTGTGGCTTTCATGAAAATTGTAGCTCTTTGAGTTTCCTTTCTAATGCCACTTGAATCACGTTATTTGGACACTCCTAGCTCGAGATATGCTCAAATTACCGAGACTCGCATGACAGAAAAAAGTACAAAGCAGAATGGTGTCACGCTGGCAATCACGGCGTGACCACCAGCGTGACCCATGTTTTTCACTTCAAAATGCATATTTCTTCATCTCGTTTGTTCCTTTGGGTCCCCGGGTCATGTCATGATACTTCCACTCGCTTTATTTCATTTTCTTGACCTCTAATGACTCCCGGAACTTGCCTTTCTGTCAAGATGACTTCAAAACACAACCAATTGAGCTCCAATTTACATGAAGTTACAACCAATGCCTCCAAATAACCTAAATGACACAAATGAATCAAATAGGCACATACTTAGCTTCCAATTAACATGAAATCATATGAGTTTGATATCAATTATGCACATAAAAGTACAAAGAATTAGCACTTATCATCAACACAATAATTTGACATGTTCCAATCATTATTCTGTGGACCATGGTCCACACAGCTATGTGGACCATAACAGAAATAACGAAGAACAAGTGGTCAACAAGCTTCTAGAATTCCTAGCTAGACACATGTCAGTATGTCACATCATCGTCTAGTCACTAATCGGCGCCCCACCTTCCACGCGGCCCCTCCATCTCAATCCTCACTGGCAGCACTTGTTGGTAGGGCTGTGCAACGGACGGATCGGGTAGTCAAAGGTCCCATCCGAACGAATATCGGTTTAGATTTTTTATCCCCAATCCGTTTTATTTTTAGTTGAAAACCGCCGAATATTTAGCTTTGTATTTCCGTCGAATTAGTCGGTTTTTTATTAAGAAAATTTAAAATGCAAAATTTGATTTTTTTTTTTTTTGGTAATAAAACATTATATTTTAGTCCAAACAATCAAACATTCAAATAACAAAATAATTAAAAGTGAATAATTAAACTTTAAATTATACAAAATTATAATATATGCATAATAGATAGTACTATAGTAGCATACTAAGTACTAACATACATCAAAAGTAGCATTTATACAAAATACAAGTACCAAATTACATCTTAATTACACCATTACACCGTTACACCATTTCACTATTTCAGTAACTTTACAAAATCACTGATTCAATCATTTCAGTGAATTTACAAAAGCACAAGTCCAGAACTAGAAACTGAGAATGTGAAGCACTCACACTGTCAAGTATCAAGCAGTCAACTAGTCAAGCATCCTAAGTCCTAATATGCTAATCAACTAATCAATATTTCAACTAATACCCTATTCCTCTTCCTGAAGAAATTCAAAGTTAAGAAAGTTAAGTAAACTTGTGAAAAGATATAATAAATAGACAATAGTAACAAAACTTAAAACATATTAAGTGATTTAAAATAGTCATACTGATCCAGTGATACGTCAAACTTGGGGCAGTTCTTAGCCATTGAGGCACCAAACTTTCCAGTCAGGGAGTCATTAGGATTCAGGGCCAATGGTTCCAGTTCCATACAAGAGTACAGGCAGACAGGCAGTCAACTAGTCACGCACAATATTAGTTGAAACAAATCAACAGAAATTTAAAATGAAATAAGTCAAATAACATTATAGGTATTGTGGGCAAAGAAGTACCAACTTCACTTCCTCCAGTGCACAACTGTGCAAAAAAAAAAAAAAAAAAAAAAAAAAAAAAAAAAAAAAAAAACAATTACAATGTAAATCTTTAAAATGTAAAACTAATAAAAACATAAAGTTACAGTTTACACTTTTATCTTTTTCAAATTTCTCAATTTCATCTAGGTTTTCTTCAACTGAAAGGGGTTGATTGGCCAACCTTAACCAATCTTGTGCAAAAATTAGTGCCTCAATAATTTTAGGAGTAAGAGAACTCCTAAATGCATCAAGAACTCTCACATTGGTACTAAATGTTGATTCTGATGCAACTGTAGAAATGAGAACATCAAGTATATCCCTTGCTATTTTAGACAACACAGGGAATCTTCCAGCATTAACCATCCACCATCTCAAGAGATCAAAGTCACCATCCTCCTCTACAATTACCTCACTCTAATATACTTCCAACTCAGTTTTTTTGTTAGCCAATTCTCCACTCTCCAATCTTTGTTTTTTTTAACTAAGATTTTAACAAAGATTGGGGCCTCTCAACAAAAACTGGATCACTTATAGAAACATAAGGAGCAGAATGTTCAACAGGATCAGACTGGACATGGAAACTTGCAACATAATCAGCATACAATTCTTTAAGGTCATTCATCACACTCTGAAACAAGGGCTTACCAACTTCATCACCATATAATTGATTAAACTGATATGGCATATATTCAATTTTGTCTCTATAGCCCAATATATTTCCATAAAAGATCAAAAAGTTCATCTTGTATGGATCACCCCAGTATTTATCAAACTTAGCCTTCATATTCTTTCCCATAAGATTAACAGATTCAGATTCAGCTCCCACCAGATCTTTTAATATGCAAGATAAATCAAAAACTTCAGAGAAGAATGTATTTGAAGTTACATACAACGACTCAGAGATCCTAACAGTCATTTCATAAAATGATTTCAGAAATTTCACCAATCCAGTTACAGTTTCCCAATCCATGTCTCCAGGTATATTCCCTCTCCCACCGAAATCAGAAATAAATGAAGAGTCATGATCTTCATAAGCTTCAAGCACTTTCTAATAGAGCAAAGCAGTATGAAACATCATATATGTTGAGTTCCACCTTGTAGGAACATCAAGAACCAATGAGTTTCTTGTTTCCACCCCAATTAAGTCAGCAATGTCTCTAAAATTTTGAAGCCTAGCTAGCAAGGGAGTTTCTCTTATACTTCACACAGTCCCTAACCTTCTTCACAACCTTATCAGATTCCTTTAATCCATCTTGCACCACCAGATTAAGGATGTGAGCAATGCATCTCATATGAAAATACTTACAGCTTACAGCAGAAGAACCCCAAGACATCACTTTCTTTTTGGAATAACCTATGACAGTATCATTGTTTGAAGCATTATCAACTGTCATAGAAAAACATACTACAACCCCCACTCTAGTAGGCAAGTTTCCAGTGCATTTGCTATATATTCCCCCATTATGTGAAGTTATAGGGACAAAGATCCGAAAATTATTATGTTTTTTTTTTTTTTTTTTTTTTTTTGCAACTTACATTCACTGTCTATGAAATGTGTAGTTATGCACATATAGTTGATCCTTTGTACAAAGGTCCAAGTATCAATAGTGATACTAACCCTTTGGCAACTAATCCTAAAGAAATTCTTCAAATTAACTCTCTCATCAGAATAAATTTTCAGAATATCCCTACTCACAGTCCATCTTGAAGAAAATTTGAACCTAGGACAGCAAACAATAACTAATTTCCTAAAACCTTGAGCCTCAACAAACCTAAAAGGTAGCTCATCAACAATAATCATTTCACAAAGAGCTCTACTAATTAGCTCTTGATCAAATACCCAGGTCCCTAAAATCCCTTGAGCACCTCCAGACTCAGTTAAAGTAGAACTAGGGACAAGAGAGAATGTGAGAAGAGATTACCAAGTGTTCTTAGAGTGAAGATTCTTTAGGCAACTTAATATGTGATTTCTCAAAGAAGAAGTCCCATGTTTCTTGGACTCACATGCAAACATCTTTGAACAATATAAGCACTTGGCTTTCATTGCTTTTTACTTTTACAAAGTGATCCCATACAGGAGATCTGGTTTCAACCTTTTTTTTTTTTTTTTAGAACAGGTGGAGGCCATGGAGGTTGAGATGTATCTTTCTCTACAACTTCTACTTCCATATCATGTTCCACATTTTGTAGAGGAGGTTGACTTCCAGATCCACCAACACTTTCCATCTATAATGTAATAGTAAGAAAGTATTAGTAAATAAGAATCCCTCGTTTTAGATACTTGGGCAAATTCATCATAATTACATATATTTCAGTTAATTGCACATTTCATATATCATGCATGCAGAATTGCACATAAATGATTTAAGAGTTACATAATATCCATAAACTTAATACTTGCACAGTTTCACACTTGCAAAGTTGCACGTTACAAAATACAAAGAAATTCATAATCAGGCATTCAAGCTAAGTAGCATACATCTACTTTATAATGCTCATCATTTATATGGATTTCACACACAAGGCCACTGGGGCTAGGGCTTCCACCAAATCAGGAGCAATTAATTAACCCTTTAAGCCTTTAAGGGACATAATCACAATTCACACTTTCACAGAACCACAGTTGCTCATAATCAGCATACAATAACACAAATAGCAACCAAATAATTTTTGTAGTGAACACAGGGGTATAATTTCTCAAAATCACAATCAAGGGACAAATGACGTGCAATCTGGAACTTCTCAACAGATTCACGGTATCATAGAATAACAAAAAAGTATCACAATCAAGGGACAAGTGACATACAATCTGGAACATCTTAACAGATTCACAATATCATAGAATAATAAAAAAGTATCACAATCAAGGACAAATGACATGCAATCTGAAATTTCTCAATAGATTCACAGTATCATAGAATAACAAAAAAGTATCACAATTAAGGAACAAGTGACACCAATTTGGAACTTCTCAACAGATTCACAATATCATAGATTCACAGCATCATAGAATAACAAATTAAAAAAGTAAAACTATAATCTAATACTCTATTGTGGGTTCACAAGCATGTCTCCAAGTGGGAGATTGTGGTCTCAAACTTTGTTGGCAATACTTCAATTCTTTACCATTTTGTTCCCTCCATTTTGGACATCCATATATTTCCTTCTTAGCCACAAAGACTTTTATCAGCAATTATACTGTGGACTGCGGTCCAAAAACGGCGATATTTCTTTAAGTAAAGAAACAACGCACCGTTACAGTTAACGGAGCTCGCATGTTTGGTGTATTAATTACCAACTGAAACTACAGTATATCTAAACTGACACTGCCTCACGTATTATTTCTATATTATCAAATGAAACTGTAATTGAATTGAAATGAAACTGTAGTTGTGTTGAAATGAAATTACAATGTATATAAAATGAAACTGAATAACATTTCACATATTTGAGTGTATATTGTGCAATGAAACTGTAGTTATATCGAAATGATAATGTAGTTGTGTTTTAATGAAACTATATAGTGTATATAAAATAACATTAAATAACATTTTCACATATTTGAGTGTATAAATATCGAATTAAATTGTAGTTATATCGAAATGAAACTGTAGTTGTGTTGAAATAAAACTGCAGTGTATACAAAATGAAACTGAATAACATAGTTATTTTTTGCAGAACGGTGCAAAACGGGTGTTGTTTCTTTTCATTAAACAAAACGACGTCGTTTAGAAGTTCGGTCTATAATCTATTATAGACCGCAGTCCACGATATAATTTGCCGACTTTTATTTTTCTTGAACCAAAACCTCACAAATAAAAATCATTTAAACCCCTGATAAAGATCTTCCCAATAAAGGCCATGGCCCCATCATATACTTTAGTAGATGTTAAACTAAACGTTGAATTATATGAGACTATAGAGTAAGGCTATCAACAAATTAGATGTGGTCCAGCACATTACAACGGTTGAAGAAAAGTAGAACGACATCATCAATTCCTACCGAGTTTAAAGCACCATTCCCACCTAATTACTGTACGAGAAATCTCAGAACAAATGACCGATGAGCAAAAACCTCTCACAGTCCTTCCAAAAACCTATTCTCAACTTTTATTATCACTATAAGTATCTAAATTTTATTTGAGAAAAAGAAAGTAATGAATAAAAATGATGATCCCCATTATATTAACCAATTAAAGTACATATTATAAAGTAAAAAATGAGAGTTATAAAATTACTCTTCAGTCTTAAATATTTGGTCGATCAGCAAAAATTATAAAAAAAAAAAAAAACATTTAATAATTAAAGAAAAGGGGAGAAGAAATTTGACACGTAGAATGAGGGAAGTATACTCAATTCCCATTTAGTGGACACGTCTTCTTCAAATTTCAATTTTTATGTCCTAAAAAGATACTTTGCACGACCCAACCCAACGCCAGGCGCCACGTACTCTCCATGTGGTCCCCACCTTCTCCAAGCCGTATGAATTCGTCGCACGTTTCCTTGCCATGTGTTCCCCGCCGCTGTCCCCATAATCATATCGCTACCCCTACCCCCTACCCCCCTGCCTTTGGCATCAAATTTTAGAGGGGAGAAATAAATTAGAAGTATTATTTTATTATTATTTAATTCACATATACAAAATAAAAATGAGATAAATAAATAAATAATATTTCAACATTCAGTTCGAATAAGAATAGAAAATTTGTCCAAATGCAAATAATCATTGTATGTATATATCAGGCACGTATGTCTGTAATGTATGCATGCATACAATGTATGTAGATATGTATAGGCTAAAGAAGAAAAAAAAATTAACATAACTTTTAGGCATATTATATGAAATACTTGTGTACAGATAACTGACAAATTATATTTAATTTTATTTTGATCGCCAAAATACAGTGATATAAGTCATATAACTAGTGTCTCAATTAATCAATTTTTAAGTAGAAAACCAAATTTGATGTAATTAAAAATTTTATTATGAAACATAAATTGAAATTAATTTATTAGTGTGAATGACTTATTGACCTTCTTAGTTTGAACTAGTCAATTATGAGTCATCTAGGTTATTTTACTTTTTTATAATCTTTGCTAGCTAAGGTTATAAGACAATTTTTTTTTGTTTTGTACACATGCTCGAATAGTGACTGAGTTTTTCTCGTCATTCAAAAATAAAAAATGAGAGTGTCACTTGTGTGAGACCGTCTCACGAATTACGAATCTTAATTCGTGAGACAACTCGAATTTATATATGATAATTGATTATTGTCACTTATGATATAAATCGTAATACTTATTACAGAAAATTTGATACCAATTTGAAATAAATAAACTTTTATTCATAAAGCGAAAATTTGTGTGAGATCATCTCACGAATCCTTATCTGTGAAACAGGTCGAATCAAAATGAAATGTAATACTTATGGAATAAAATCTTTATTACTTATATGGAGCAAATTATTGTATGGACCATGATCCACACAATGTTATGTGCACCATAATAAAAAGTACATTTTTAATATACTAAATGTACATTATTTTTGTACTGTATGTACATTATACAATATAATGTACACTTAGTACAAAAACAATGTACATCGCCTGAATACAATGTACATTATTTTTGTACTGAATGTATATTATTGTTGTACTGAATGTACATTATTTTACACTATACAAAATATGGTTCATACAACTTGTGTGGACCATGGTCCACACAATAATGATTGCTTATATGGGAAAGGAGCAAATTACACTTTTGGTCCTGTGACTATTAGGGGTGTGTTAATTTGGGTACGTGACTTTTAAAACTAACAATTTAGTCCTTTAACTATCATTTTTTAGCAGATTTGGTCCTCCTGGCCAAATTGCCGGTGGAATTTGGCCGGAAAGACATTCGAATTTTTAAATCAAATATTAGTGGGGGTAATTCGGTCTTTTTAATTGTAAAAAAAATAGCGTTTTATTTAAAAATTCGAACGTCTTTCCGGCCAAATTCCACCGGCAATTTGGCCTGGAGGACCAAATCTGCTAAAAAAATGATAGTTAAAGGACTAAATTGTTAGTTTTAAAAGTCACGTACTCAAATTAACACACCCCCAATAGTCACAGGACCAAAAGTGTAATTTGCTCTATGGGAAAGTATAATACTTTTGAAGAAAAATATAATACGTTTACATTTTGATTTAAAAGTATAACGGAATATATTTTTCCTCAAAAGTATTAAATTTTCTCTTATAAGTAATAAATTAAACACTTGCCAACATTACTTATAAGGGAAAATGTAATACTCTTGATAAAAAATATAATACTTTTACATCAAAATGTAAAAGTGTTACATATCTCCTCAAAAGTATTACATTTTCTCTTATAAGTAAAAAAAAAAAAAAAACAGTTTTTTTTGTTGAAGGGTAAAAAGAGTATCATAAGTAAAAAACACTTTAGTTTATTCCTAATTAGTATTATATTTTTCAGTATAAATATTACATTTTCATATTAACCCGACTTGTCATACGAATAAAGATCTGTGAGATGGTCTCGCACAAGTGTGATCCTATTTATAATAGATATTGTAATATTTATATATAAAATTATGATACTATTTAAGGTAAATTGATTGTTACTAATAATAAATATTGTAATACTTATAACTGAAATTGTGATACTTACACACTCAGTTGTCTAAAGCCCGACCCGTTTCGCGGACAAACATCTGTGAGACGTTCTCACACAAATTATTGTCAAATTATGAAATGAATAACTCTACATGTGAAGAACAAGATTTGCGTAAGACCGTCTAACCGTAAAACATATAATATATTTTTTTGGCTAAAACATAATACATTAATACTCCTTACTTTTTATAAATGTATAAAAAAAATATTGTATTTTAATTAAACAATATTATACGCAATATATTTTATATGAGACAATCTCACACAATACTTACCCTGTTAAATTAAATATCCTTGTGTAACATTTGTTGAAGTCAAAATTTTCAGGCGCGTACTTGGACAACTGTGATCCTAATAAACTAACCCTTTAGAATGACGATTCCTAGTTATGGAAATTAGTATATAATACTCTGTAAATGGCAAGTTTACAGCAGTTCTACGAATTTTTTGAATGCTACTGACTCTATTACATTGTAATATCTGTTCAAGTTCTACGAATAGTTTAAGGTGATTTTGATTGATTTGAAAACGTTAAAAAACTAAATTATGTACCATAAAATGTTGGCTGAAGGGGAAGAACTTTGAATCATTTAAATAGGGAGGTAGAGAGTTAAGAAATCAAAATTAATACTAAGTCGGACTTAATATATATATATATATATATATATATATATATATTTGGCGCAATATAAGGTGAAAGAACAACTCAAAATTCAAAAAGTACTTTTATGAGCCTATTCAACGCCCCAGCACTAGCCAACAATAAATATATGTTGCCCGCATGAATTTAACTTACTGATTTAATATACACTATTTGAGAGAAAAAGTAAACTTGGATTAAAGAATATTTTTATTGATAAATACAAACTTAAAAATAATTAACTAAATTAAAATTTTAGGGTTGAGAATAGCCTAACTTGCTATTCCGATAAATAGGAAATCGTGTTATGAAAATACAGGTTGATTACACCAAGGCTTACCACTTTGTTAAGCCAATATGTGGCTAGAATATCTTTAGTTGTTATTTGTTCTATTTGTGCTCCTATAGACTAGTTATATTTGGTTGTAACTTCTTGCTATCTACACTCCTTCATGTACTATATATATGTTGTGTTTTACATCAATAAACATCAAGGTTAATCCCTTCAAACGGTATCAAGAGCCATATTCCCCTAAGGAGTTTTTTTTTTTTTCTCTTATCTTTCGTCATTCTTATATTCATGGCTACCACCACCACTGACTTGGTTCACCTCAATGCTCCGTCTAATTTTCCTATCAAACTCACCCCCCTCAACTTTCCTGTCTGGAGACGCCAAGTTCAGTCCACCATGATTGGCTTTAATCTCCTGGGATACATCGATGGTTCTGTCAAAGAACCAGCAAAATTCAATGATACTGCACAAACAGCTCCGAATCCAGAACATTTGACTTGGTATCGCCAAGATCAGATAATTACCAGTGCTTTACTTGGGAGCTGTTCAGACACCATACAACCTCTTATAGCTTCCGCATCCACTGCTTGTGATGCCTGGCAACGGCTCGTTGCTAACTTTGCTAGCGCCTCCCGAGGACAGATCCTTTCCCTCAAGGCCAAGCTTACCAGAAATCCGAAGGGTAATCGGTCAGTCACCGCATTTTTGAATGACATGCGCTCAATAGCTAACGATCTCGCCTTGGCTCAATGCCCCATTTCTGATGAAGACATGGTTGTGTACATTTTAACATAACTAGGAGACGAGTACAGCTCCATCGTATCTGTCGTTCGTATCCGTGAAAAACCCATTTCTTTGGGAGAATTAGCCGATGCGCTCACGGATCATGAACGTCAGTTAGCTGAAGTCGATGATGCTCGCCAATCTCTTTTGGCTACTGCTAATGCCTCCCAGCGTGCTCCTTCGGCTTCTCAAAATAGTCCGCACTCCACTATCGATCGGAGGTCCCGCAACAACACCAACAACACGTATGCCAATAATAGACCGAATTGGTCGCACAACAGCAACACTCGACCTGGTGTTGTGTGTCAATTCTGTCACCTTGCTGGCCATGAAACTCGTGTTTGCCGTAAGCTAGCCCGGTTTTTAAAAGCCCATAATGTGTTTCCCGTGCAGGCTCCTACATTTCCTCAGTCTCAGTCACCTGCAGCTAATTCTATTGTGGGAGCGACTACACCGTGGATGTTTGACAGCGGGGCGTCTCACCATGCCACACCGGATACGACTCCTCTGCACACTTTCACCGAGTATAATGTGCCTAATGGGATACGACTGGGCACGGTAATTCTTTAAACATCTCACATTGGTCAGTCATCTATTCTCACTCCTTCTTCCCTGCTCATTCTCCAAAATGTCCTACGTGTTCCACAGTTGAGTCATAATTTAATATCCGTATCGCAATTGTGCAAAACTAATCAAGTGTCGGTGGAATTCTTTGATTCCCACTTTCTTGTGAAGGATCTTCGAATGGGGATGTCATTACTACGGAGGGCGAACATTAATGGTGTCTATTATGCACCTCTCCTGTGTTAACCTACATCCAATTCCATGCAGCTGTCTCGCGTTTCCCAGTGGCACCATTGTCTAGGCCATCCGTCTAATAAGGTGTTGCATCGTGTGTTGCAACACTGCAACGTTCCCATATCTATGTCAGCGTTAAATAAGTTTTCCTGCCAATCATGCAATGTATACAAAAGTCATAAATTACCTTTTTCCCAAAGCACGCTTGTTAGCACTAGGCCTCTACAACTGCTCTACACTGATGTATGGGGTCCGACGGAAAAATCTATTGATGACTTTGCTTATTATGTTATATTTGTAGATCAGTTCTCTAGGTATGTCTGGTTATATCATTTAAAACGAAAGTCTGATGTTTCTTTGATTTTTCCTTAGTTTAAAAGGTTAGTGGAGAATTTTTTTTGGTCTGTCAATTGTGTCAGTTTATTCTGACAACAGGGGTGGGGGTGGAGTTTATTAAATTAGTTTCGATGTTCAATGCTCATGGCATTTCAGATTTTTCGACTCCTCCACATATACCTGAGCATAATGGCATGGCTGAACGGCGACACAGGCATGTCGTCGAGAATGGAATGTCACTCATTCACGCTGCTTCTTTGCCTTCCTCGTACTGGTCTCATGCATTTCAGGTTGTCATCTATCTCATCAATCGACTTCCAACTCCGGCACTAGGTAATCAATCTCCTTATCATGTTTTGTTCAAACAAAAACCGAACTATGATAAGTTACAACCTTTTGGTTGCCTATGATTTCCCTGGTTGCGTCCCTATTTCACCGAGAAACTACAACCGAAGTCACGTCCATGTATTTTTCTTGGCTATTCAAACACCCAATCCGGTTATAAATGTCTAGACTACAATTCGAATCGTATTTATGTATCTAGACATGTTAGATTTGTGCCTCATGTGTTTCCTTATAACGATTTGCAAAAGTCATCTAACATCTTACCTTCTGATTCTCATGATTCTGAATCACGCCGTATTTTGTGCAAGTCGTCTACTTCGTCTACACAGGTACAACCCGTGGGTGTTCCAACTCCAGTTCCAACACCTGTTCCAACACCAGTTCCAACTCCAGTTCCGAGTCCAGTTCCAACACCTGTTCCAACACCAGTTCCAACTCTAGTTCCGAGTCCAGTTCCAACACCCGTTCCAACACCAGTTCCAACTCCAGTTCCGAGTCCAGTTCCAACACCGTCTCCCACTGTCTCAGAAAATGACCAAACCAGCCGTCGTTCGTCACCCACTATTACTACGACTGATCAACCACCCAGTTAGCCCGAACAGTCATCGTCCAACGCCTCACAGTCACAGGATGGGCTGCGTCGCTCCACTAGACCACTTCGTCCTAACCCCAGGTATTATGACTATGTTATCAACCACACCACAGCGCATCCCTTACCTCCCACTTTAGAACCCTCTACCGTCGCTCAGGCCTTGAAGGATGCTCGGTGGAGGAAAGCTATGGACGAGGAGTTTGACGCACTCCAACGTAACAAAACATGGTGACTGGTTCCTCGCGGTGTTGGGGTTCCCATTGGTTGTAAATGAGTTTACCGTGTCAAGCGTAAACCTGATAGTTCAGTTGATCGGTACAAGGCACGCCTTGTGGCCAAAAGCTTCTTACAGACTGCTGGCCGGGATTACTTTGAGACCTATAGCCCGGTTATGAAACCGGACACCATCAGGTTGGTTCTGACTATTGCGTTGAGTAACAACTGGGGTTTGTGCCAATTGAACATCAACAACGCGTTTTTGCACGGGACTTTACATGAGGAAGTCTACATTGACCAACCGTCGGGTTACGTTGATCCGCTGTATCCATCCCATATCTGCAAATTAACGAAAGCTCTGTATGGCCTTAAACAGGCCCCGCGAGCATGGTGCCAGGAACTCTCTTTGTTCCTGCAGCGGTCTGGGTTTATTAAGTCACAAGCTGATGCTTCACTGTTTGTTTATTCAGCCAAAGGTGTAATTGTCTACTTTTTAGTATATGTCGATGACATTTTGTTGACAGGTAATAACTCTACCTGGCTTGATCGTTTTGTGGGGTCCTTGTCAGCACAATTTGCCCTTAAAAATCTTGGTACTTTAAATCATTTTCTGGGCGTGGAGGTCATTCCTACTGGTGGTGGAATTTTTCTGTCTCAAAGTCAGTATATTACTGGCATATTGACGCAGTTCTAGATGGATGGTGCAAAGGATGTTTCAACACCGCTGGCTGCTTCAGAGAAGTTGGTACCGCTGCGACCGTCCGATGTTGCAACTGATGCCACTCAGTTCCCTCGCTTGCTTGGTCTTATGCAGTACTTAGTGATTACACGTCCGGATGTGGCGTTTGCTGTCAACAGACTCTTGCAGTTCATGCATGCACCCTCGGAGTTACACTGCAAGCCGCCAAACGCCTCCTGCGGTATTTAAAAGGAACTGCTTATCATGGTTTGTTGCTACGTGCAGGGTAGCCCCTTTCGTTGCGGGTGTACACTGATTCAGATTGGGGTGGACCGTCCACTAAAGGTTGTTCCACTACTGCATATCTGGTGTACCTAGGAAATAATCTAATTTCTTGGAAGTCTACGCGTCAGAAGTCTGTCTCGCGATCATCCACGGAGGCGGAGTATCGGGCCCTGGCGAATGCAGCAGCTGAGGTCCTCTAGGTCAAAAATCTGTTGCAAGAGTTAAAATTGGGGCTGGTTGAGCCTCCGGTACTGTTTTGTGACAACTTGAGCGCCACGTACGTTTGCAAGAATCCCGTGTTCCATTCCCGCATGAATCATCTCGCCTTGGATTTCTACTTTGTCCGAGATTTGGTTGCAAATGGCACGCTGGTTGTGCGGCACGTTTCGTCTTCAGCTCAACTAGCCAATCTTCTTACTAAGTCACTGGGTCGTCGCCTCTTTCTTCAACTTCGGTCCAAGATTGGAGTCTCCGACGGATCCTCCATCTTGCGGGGGCGTGTTAAGCCAATATGTGGCTAAAATATCTTTAGTTTTTATTTGTTCTATTTGTGCTCCTATAGACTAGTTATATTTGGTTGTAACTTCCTGCTATCTACACTCCTCAATGTACTATATATATGTGTTGTGTTTTACTTTTACATCAATAAACATCAAGGTTAATCCCTTTACACACTTAACCAAGGATAAGGACCCCAAGTTAGTCGAGGACAATTACATGAACACTCATCTCAACCATCAAGTTTAATATATACACATGTATATATGTTTTTTAATAATAATTTTATAGTAATTTGCAAGTAATATATCACCAAAATGTTTGACTTGAGAACAAATATCAATTATTATCTTCTATGTATGATAGACATGTTAACTAATGTAAGAGTAATCTCATTAAGGTTTTTTTTTTTTTTTTTTTTTTTTAATTTGTACAGATTTATTCTTCCAAAAGGTTGAACCCTAACCCTAAGGGCCCCCCACACCCCGCCCTGACAGAGCATTTGGGAGGATGTAAATCATGGTAACTCAACTGAACATGAACCACGCACAGAGGCTAGACCTTTGCTTACTGCGCACAAGGAGCCCCCTCACTTTGAGAGGTTGCTCCCACACTGCCGGGAATGAGATTTGTACAGATTTATTGCACATGTATGTGGATGAGAGAGAAGAAAAGTGAGAATTTTTTTTTTTTTTACTGCAATATATGATTTTTTGTGAGACTCATTGTCCCACGAAAAACAATTGATTTATTTCATTTTTCAATTCTCTCTTTCATTTTCTCTTTCTTATTCATATTTGCAAAAACCAAATAAAAATTTAATTAATGAGTTTGCTTTTAAGTCTAATCAAATTTTTATTTTGCACCAACATTTCAAATTTTGTGTTAAAGCACAAATTTAAAAAAAAAATTATCTGAAATTATCATAACATACAAAAATTAAGAAAACTTCATCAATAATCCTATTAAATATCAATTTTCAATATGTATCTTTCTTCCTTCGTTTTCCTTTGATTTTTCTTACTATAATCCCTTTATGTACTAAGAATTAATTGAAGAATTCAAATTAATGATGTTTATTGAAGCTGAACCCTACCACGTGGTGCCGGTACGGTGGGTGGGTCTAGTCATCACGGGGGGGCCCGGATTACTATACCACCGTATCTTACACGTGGTGAGGATCTAACTGTTTGCCGATCATCAACGGCTCTTATTGCTACCAACTTTCATGGTAGGTTGCGTATACAACCTTTACATGTATATATATTTGCATATTCTTCCCCACCAGCCGTTGTTTATAATCCGATACTTCGGGGTTTTATCATGTCGTATGATTGACAATCTAAAACAGATATCGCCGGCGCCGGTAAATTTCGCCGGAGAATTGAATCAACTCCTCATGACTCAGCTAGACTTGAGTGGAAATTGCCGAAACTACCCATCTAGGAATGGGTTGGAGCTCCGGCGAGGCCGACCGACGTCCGATAATGTCGCCGATATTAACGGCAGAGTGTCGAAAAGGAAAAGGAAAGAAATGGGCGCCGGAGAAGAAGATGAAGATGAAGAGGAAGAATTAGTGGTGTCATTATTGTTTACGATGCCGGAGAAGGGAGTCACCTGCAGGTCACATGGGTTAGTATCGTTGATCGGACGTCGGAAGGAAATGGAGGACGCGGCGGCGGCGGAGCTCGGGGTGGTGATTAGAGGCGGGAAAGAGTACGATTTTTTCGGAGTGTACGATGGTCATGGTGGGTCAGGAGTGGCGCGTGCTTGTCGCGACCGGCTGCACCGGTTGCTGATGGAGCAGTTAGTAGAAGAAGAAGAGAAAGAGGAAATCAAGTGGGAGAAAGTGATGAAAGAAACGTTTAGCAAGATGGACGAGGAAGTGAACTGGAAAGGGGCGGCGGTGGCGACGATGGGGTCGACGGCGGTGGTGGCGATGGTGGGGGCGGAGGAAGTGGTGGTTGCCAATTGTGGGGATTCTAGAGCTGTGCTGTCACGGGGTGGAGTCGCAGTACCCTTGTCAAATGATCATAAGGTATAGTGTTCTTTAATTTTAGTTCATTTAGAAAACTCTTCATATTAGTTTAAGGTGGTGTTGGCGGGTTCAGTATTTTGTTTCTGAAAAATGTGACTGTATATAAAAATAAAGTCATTTTTGTTGTGAGGTACGGTAAGCACTTTATAATAAATGGTATCAAAGTTGAATGGAAGTTGATGAAGAGATAAGTTCTACCCGCCCTTAACACCTTGTTTCTCAAAAATATTATGGTATAAGAGAACAAAGTCATGCATTGAAGCACCAAAAGTTCATCTTTTTTTACGGTGTCATGGATGGTAAACTTAACAATATTAATTATATTTATCATCTTTTTGGTTGGGCAGCCCGACAGAGCAGATGAGCTGGACAGAATCGAAAGTTCTGGGGGGAAAGTACTAAACTGGAATGGGCATAGAGTATTGGGAGTTCTTGCTACCTCAAGATCCATAGGTACGGAAACTACATCTTAACGAACAACAATTGTTCCTCAGCTTCGGTTGGTTTTACTGCTAGACGGCGGGTCAACACAATTGTAAAATAATAAGAAAAAATTAAAGAAAATGTTGACAGAATAATTGAACTAGAATTGACTTTAGAACCTTTTACAATGTGTCTCAAAGGGTATTTTATATAAGATTTAGGTGCTTTGAAAAGGAAAGAAACAAGACATTAATAAATTTGAACTTAGGAAAGCTTCCAAACGAGATCTTTGGAAGATCTCATAATCGGCCTCTGAGTATTACAACCGGTTGGGAATTCCACCTGATGCCTTAACTGGTCGCTTAATCGGGACGGATGAATGAGCCACAGTCCTAGTCCAGGGGCTAGGGTGTCGGATTCCTTTCTATTCTAGAGACATCATGAGCCTTGACCGCCCAACTACGTCATGATCGGGTACCCTACTCGGGGTATCCATCAGCTTCTTTGTCACCATATGTATAATATAGGCCCTGTTTGGTAAAAAATTGGCCTATAGGCCAACTTTGGCCTATTTGACCACTATTAATTGTTTGATTTAGTTAAAATATCAATATAAATGTTTGGTTAATTAGCTTTTTATAACTCCAAAAGGCTAAAATTCAAAAAGCTACTCCAAGCAACTTTTTCAATTAGCCTTTTGAAAAAAGAAATTATACCAAACAGCTATCAGCTAACAGCTAATTTACCAAACACTTTTTTACAATCAGCTAATATTATCAACTATTTATACCCTCTAATTAACACAATCAGCTAACTGCTAACATCTATCAGCTAACAGCCATTTTACCAAACAGGACCTTAATCTTTAATTTAACGCAGGGGACCAATACCTTAAACCATATGTGATAGCGGAGCCTGAAGTGATGGTGAGCAAGAGAGTCGACACGGACGAGTTCCTAATACTAGGCAGTGATGGCCTGTGGGACGTTATCTCCAACGAAGCAGCTTGCCAGGTGGTACGAAGATGTTTGAGCGGTCGAACGAGGGAACTATTCTCCGCCGCCGAGGCTGCAAACATTGTAAGTGAAAATAATGATGTAATCGCGAAACAAAGCCGGGCGGCTGAGGCGGCTGCAGTGCTGGCAGAATTGGCAATCGCCCGGGGAAGTCGCGACAACGTTAGTGTTGTAATTGTTGAATTAAGGAAATCATCGAATCGTTAGTCATGTCTATATCGAATGTTCTACTACTTTTTTCCGGCCCCCCCTACTTTCTTTTCATCATTATTATGCTTTAACAAATTTTGTTCCGGAGTACAGGTGTGGCTTATGAGACATTTGCTTTAACGAAGAGATTTTTTTTTTTTTTTTTTTTAATAACTTAGATTTTCTGATTTCACATGAGATTCTTGACCACCTTAAATTACAAGTAAGTAAGAATTCGTCACATTCGCTCTAATTAATTCACCAAATGCATAAAATCCGTTCCCATCCAATTCATATCCACATAAAGTGGATGGAATGTGGGATCTATTTAGTGCGAATTAAATCTGCCACTATCCACTAATTTATTATCAAAATGGCATATATAATCACAGTCTTATATTTAGAAAAATTACACGATTATGATGAAAATGACACTTTTTCTCCTGAGTTATATACTTATAGTATTTTTTCGCTCTGAATTATTTAAGTGGCTGTTTTTCTCCCTGAAATGTTAAATGAACATATTTACCCTTAAAATAAATATTTCATTTATTTTTCTTATCCAACAAATTATGACAACAATTTGGTTCAAACCAAACATACACTATAGCAACCAAACCGAAATATTCTAATTACAATTTAGAATCGAAACCCGATATTTAGAGTTTATTAAAATCGCAAACCGGGACGGCCGGTTCATGTTCCGAACTAGAAAAAATAAATACATTTATTGTTGAATTTAGATTATTTTAAAATAAAAAATAAATTTTAAAATAAAGACGGTTTAAAATCGTGAACCGGACCCGGAATCGCCGGTTCATGGTTTAGGATCCAGTTTTTTTGATTCATAATTCTAATAAACTGAAATCCAAATATTGGGTTCTGGATCTGAATCATAACCGGAAACTTTTAATTCGATTGCTATAGTGTCCGGTTCAATTCGAATCGAATCATGGTCATCCCTACGTATACGCAAGAGAAGAAAAATAAATAAAATGTTTATTTTAAGGGTAGAAATGTCAATTTAATATATCGGGGGAGGAGGGGGGGGGGGAGAATCGCCACTTTTAAAATAATTGAGGGGACTAATGTACTTACATGAATAATTCAGGGGAAAAAGTACCATTTTCCCATTTTATTTTTAAAAAAATACGGTGACATTTTTTTAATTATCACAAACTTTACCATGTAACTTTTAAAGAAATTACAAATTCAAGTATGTTTACATAAATATTCAAATACATTTAATCATTTATTTCATCTCCACCACATTGATACCGTTTTTCTTCAATCAAGTTTTCTTGTAGTCAATGATTTGTTGGCCTATTATGAATCCTTGCATGATTTCAAGTATACTCATTTAAAATGAAGTTGCATGGTGTATTTTTAGGCATGGATACGTTGAAATTTACACATTCATTCATATAATCAAAATTACCAGCATATAAATCTCGTTCATCCTCTATAATCATATTGTAAATGATTATGTCGAGTTAGAAATGATAAGCAAATAATGTTTGGAGCACTCCAAATACTCTTTCTATGTCTTTTATTGCATCTTCTTGTTTCTTTGGAAATAATTTGTGTTTTTCACTTTGAGATAACGAGATTGACTTCTCAAAGGTTGACCGATATATTTCATCTACTAATAGCTCAAATTGTAATGGTTACATTAAGAAGGGAGTTTACCAGAGGTGTTTTACCTTCCAAGATCTCATGGAAGACTAGGGAGCAATCCAACATATTGATATTGTTTAATGTACATGCGAGCTGAGATTGAAGAAAGCATGCCGTATCCACAAATCTACAGAAGCAACAGCTTCAAGTATAAGGTTAGATACTCGTGATCTCTTCTAACGAATTGCTCATGTCATCGATTGTACAATTTTTCTATTTCTAGTGCATGCAATCGATATTTCATAATATACTCAGAAACCCCCTTTGTTCACCAATTTTTATTAGTATACATCTACAACACTTGGCCTTCTCAAATGTAAGTGTAAAAGTATTTACACGTTAAACCTTATTGGCTATTTTATTTAGTAGTAATATTATTAGTTCTAATTAAGAGGTTAATTAGAATTGTTAGTGTTAATCTTCCTTTGGACCACTTTATATCTTCAAAGTGAATTTGAGTGGACAATATGCATTGGCAAGTGAAGAGGAAGTCAGCAGCAACGCATGAATGAAGCTTTCAAAACAAAAAAGATGTTGTTGTGATTTATTCAAATAAAAAGAGGCTAATATTAAGGATCAAAGTGGAGGCTTAATACTTGCTATAAAAAGAAGCCACACCAAAGAGGAAAGTTGCCAACTTTGAGCTTAATATTCAAGAGCACACTTCTGATTTACAAAGCCTTCGATTTTAATGTATTTTATTATTTAACTAGTATTTGTCCCGTGCGATGCACGAAAAATATGTTATAAAAATATACCCTATATGAGATTTATTCATATATAAAAATTTTGTTATTTAATGATTATTATGTGTAAATTCTTATGATAAAATTATGAACATAAATATATTTACAATTAAAATAATATTTAAGGTGGGTGATTACTACAAATCTTAAACTATATTAAAAATTTAGTACATAGTATTTAATATTACAAATTTTTAAGAACTTAGTAAACTACAATAGTAATTGAATTACAATTTTAGAGTCACCACGGATCAAAATTTTTAGACCTTTGAGATTTCTAACTCTAGATGTAGCAACGTACAATTGACCTTTAAAGACCAAAATCACAATCTTAGTTCGAACATTGATTTTTTCTTGCAAATACTATCAAATTTAAGTGTGTAATCAAAAAAAGATGAGAACTAATAATTCGAGAATATAATCTTAATGTTACTAAGCCTACTTCATGTCAATTAAGTTGGAGAGTGTTGTTGGATAGTATCCGATGAACCCACGAATAACGCATTTTTGTCTCCGTGATCCTCAATATGCATATCAACAATCTTAAATATTAGGCCGCCTAGCTATGCCATATATTAATTTCAAACTTATGAACTTTGGGGTTGCATGAAATAAAAAGTATATTTTAAATTACTAAGGGTACATTATATATGTATGTAAGGTACTTTCAATATAAAAATAATGTATTTTTAATATATTAAAAATGTATTTGATATTCATGATCCCTACAATTATGTGGACCATCGTTCACACAATAATTTGCAAGTAGAAATTGAAATATAAATAAATAAATAAATAAATAAATAAATAAATAAATATATATATATATATATATATATATATATATATATATATATTAGAAACTGGCAGTAGAAATTATTATTATTATTATTATTATTGTAATTATTATTATTATTATTGTTATTGTTATTATAATTAACAATATTATTATGGTCTTGTGAAAATTAAATGTTGATGATTACCATTTAATTTTCACAAGACCATATGGCTTTATTATATATAGGATTCTGATGAATATTTAATCTGTACTACATGATCAGTACGTGGTACTGCTGAAGCATCTTGTGAAGATTGTTCGGGTATTTGTTTGTCAATCCTGGATAGGTGTTAGAAAGAGTGGTAGTGGTAAAGGCTGGAGGCCATCTGTATTTACCTCTTGTAATACTTCTTTTGGTGAACATCTATAGTGGATTGGGCAGACGTGGGTTGCCCCGCAGACGTAGAAGAAGGAGCTCCCAACTGCGTAACATTTCTTTGTGTTTTTTACATTCTTTATGCTTTTAGCTTTCATTATTTACATTTGCTTAAACAAGTTTAATTAATGAACGTAACTACTGCATAACCTAATTAACAAGTAAAAACACATAGCTTTTATATTTCAAGTGTCACGGTGCATTTTCATTTGGTATCAGAGCCTGTAGACTTAATTTATTAGTCTATCGATCTGGCGATTCCGTGCCTCTTGAATTCATATCTTCAGCGGCTTTTATTATTTATTTGTTTATTACTTATTTGTTTGATCTCACGGGGTGTTAAGTGTTACAGAATGGAGCGAACTAAAGTCCTTCCCCAGTTGACCGGCGACAACTACGCATATTGGAAGGCTCGCACCCGTACGCATCTAAAAGCTAAAGGTGAAGCCGTATGGCGGTCTGTGGTGTCAGGTTGGACACATCCCACTAAACCCAGTTCCAGCACTGATGGAACAGAAGTCACTAAGCCAGAGACCGAGTGGACTCAAACAGAAATAACCAATGCAGGAAACAATGATAAAGCCTTAGACACAATTTATTCTCTTATGCATGAAAGCCAGTTTTCAATTGTTGCAGGTATTCCTTCAGCTAAAGGTGCTTGGGAGGCTCTTGAGTCTACATACGAAGGAACGACCTCGGTAAAACAGTCAAAGCTGCAATTGGTCCAGTCAGAATTCGAAGAACTGCGCATGAACGAGAATGAGACAGTCATCGACTTTCATACACGCATACAGGAACTGGCAAATCGCGCAATGGTCCTTGGTGAACCATTCTCGCAGGATAAACTTGTTAAAAAGATACTGAGATCTTTACCGCCCAGGTTCCGAATGAAAGTCATAGCCATCCAAGAGCATGATGACTGTGAGAAAAAATCTGTTACTCAGCTAATGGGAAATCTTAAAACATATGAAATGGAGATTTTAACTGATCATACGAAAAAACAAAAAAATATTGCTTTTGCTGCTGAAGAAAATAATGTAGTATCCGATACAGATGAAACTAGTGATGATACAGTTGTGTTCTTAACTAAACAGTTTTCCAAAATTTTGAAACAGGTATCCAAAAACACACACAACAGAAATTCACAAAAGGGAGCAATGTCATTCAAGACTGCACCTAGGACAGGGGCGCCAAACGCCAAACAGTCTGTCTCATGTCCAGGACAGTCCAAAGAAAGGTCCAACAACAAAGGCATCAAGTGTTATGAATGCGAGGGATTTGGACATGTACAAACTGAGTGCGCCACCTATCTTCGACGCAAAAAGTCTATGTCAGCCATTACCTGGAGCGATGATGAGCCCGACGTTGAACCAACTGGGTCAGATGTCGAGGAAATTTCGAGTAATTTTGTTGCATTTACGGCACGATTTACTGATAGTTCAGAACCTGTTGAAGACTCAGAAGGTGGTGATTATGTCTCTGCAGAAGATGTGGAACTAAATGCTTTATCTTTTGAAGCTGAATTTAATAAGTTGTATCCCAAATGGGAAGCATTAAGAAAAATGAACTGCAAACTAGCTAGTGAAATAGAGATTGTAACGAATGCAAATAAAGTATATCAAAATCAAGTAGCTGATAGGAATGTTTTGCTTAAAGAATCAGCAGGTCGAGAGGAAAGACTACAAAATGAAGTACAAACCGGAAATGTACTTCTTAAGGAAGCAGCTGACCGAGAAGCAAAACTCCAACAAGAAGTTCAGAATTTGAAACAAGAGCTCAGCACTTACAAACGAAAAATCCAAATGATGGATACCACTTCAACACTAGATAAGATTCTTGATTCCGGCAGGAAAACACCTGCAAAATTTGGTTTGGACTTCATTGGCAGTAACTCCAAAGATAAGACTGTATTTGTCAAAGCATCTGGACCTGATCCAGACGACATCCCTGAATGCAGCACTGTGAAACGCTCCTATGGTAAAGTAAACGTAAACAAAATGAATTATAAGCTATATAATCCCGTTTGCCACTATTGCAGGTTACGCATACATACCAGACCTGAATGCTACTATTTCTACAAGGATCAAAGGATTGAAAAGTTCAGACACAAGAACATTCAACCGTTCACAAAACAGATTTGGGTCAAAAAGGCTGATTATATATCTTTTGTTTCATTTCATACTAAAAGTGCAGGACGAGAAGAAAAATGGTATTTTGACAGTGGGTGTTCCTGTCACATGACAGGAAATGTCAAATTCTTGAACAACGTAAATACCAGTAAAGGTGAAGTTACCTTTAGTGACGGTGTCAAAGGTCAGGTGACTGGCGTAGGCAATTTTACTGTCTAAATTCCTCGCACAGGTAAATTTTGTTTATCTTTTTTAATTTTTTTTAACAGTTTAATTGTTTTTTTCCTACGTAAGTGTTAATGCAGGAATAACAGGGTGGTTCGACTATTAGTTCGTATCCCCATTTGTTCGGCTCTTTCAATTCCCATTACTATTTCTGCTTCTAAAAGTCAGTCAGAACTTGTGCCCATTCCTGGTTCATCTACCCAAGACTCGGCTCCCATCATATCTGTACCTCTGTCTAAAACTTTTCGAAAGGGAAAGGAGAAAATGTCTGTTTCAGGTACTGCAGAAAAGAAGAAGGTGTCTCATTTAGATGATGTGGAAACTCAAACTGACCGTAAGCATCAAAGGAGGGGTTACACTCTTTCACCCATACTCACTCGGTCACGAGCCCTCACTGAATCACCAACTGTACCAATTCCATCCGGCTCAAAATCAAAGGGGTCCCACAAAACTTACGAAGGAAGAAGACTTTAACGAAGAACAATTCCTTAGTACTTTAAAGGTTTCAAACACTCAGGAAGTTGGTACACACTCTAACCCTCCTCC